GGTCACCCTTGTCTTATGGGTGCGCCTGGAGCGTATGGGATAAGAAGGATTGGGACGAGTTGTGTCAACCCAATAGAACAATCAGTTTGTCTTGTCGTTTCCATATATCAAAGGTTGAATTACATTTCAGTACTTGAAGATCTTTACTTAAAGCTTTCGAACTCAGAACATATTCACAAGGGCAAAGTGACGACTAACGATCCATATATAGGTGAATCCTTCAATACCCATTACTTCTAGAGTAGAAAAGATATGTTACTCACATAAGAAAATCATCTTCATCAAGTTTAACCGCTATCGGTTGAGTAGCCGGATTAACAATGATGATGACAGTTTCGGGCAATGGCGGACCCAGGATCTTTGCCTAGGGGGGACCTTCATGGCTCCACTATTGTTTGATAATCAACTAGTGAAAACTTTTAAAAACCATCAAACCTTGAGCAAAGGAAATAATACAATATTAAGAAGCTGAAAAAAAAAAAAAAAAAAGAATACAATAACAGTATACTTTCCTACTTGAATAAATCTATGAGAAGCAAAACCTTGAGCAAATGTATTGAAAATAACACCCAATTCACAAGGAAACACAAGAAAATTTTTACGTGGAAAAATCTCTTCGATGTGAAAAGAGCAAGCAAAAAACCCTAAACCTAAACCTTAAATCTTGACCTAATTTGCTCTCAATTCAAATTCTTCTCTTACTAATTGATGTTCATAATGTCTTATGAAAATTTATGATGAAATTGAAAGGGAAGAAGCAAGGGCCGAATGGAAAAATGAGTTGAGTTATATACACTTTTAAAATAATGTTTTATATGATTAAGTTCTTTAAAAAAATTAAATAGTAAACAATTTTGCTTGCTTTTAACACTAGATTGTCATGTTCAAAGTTCAATAAATGGTTCAAATTGAATTATAATTATATTATTTTTTCAATTATGTCATGTCATTTTCATTAATTAGATGATAGATTTGTGAAAAGTGTATAACATAATCATTCGAAATTTATTAAAATCATAGAAAGATAGCGATGATTATTAAGTAGATTGTTAGTTTATAATTATATAAATTATTGATTTTTATTTCTATTAAAAAAGGGTGTAAGTTACAGCATGAAGTCTTATATTAGTAGAGAGAATTAGTATTTGTTAAGTAATTAATTAGGTAGAGGAATGAAAGATAGAAAGGTAAGTATAGATGAAATGACAGTGAGACTAGGCCATACAATTAAAAATCACAATTAATAGTGATTTATATGGTATATTATATGAACTAAATTAGGGAAAAGGGGGATGACAAAGAGATCAAATTAATAAAGACAGGTAGAATTTCAAAGGATGAAGTGAGATTCTAGAAAAAGCTTTTCCATAGGAAAAATTTGTTTTCTTGTTTTTTTTTTTTTTAATATAAATTTGAGAAGGGGTTGGGTCTGCCCCTACATGGAAGAAACAAAAAAAGATTGGCCAGTCAGTCAAAATATTCTCATATTAAATTAAATAGAGTAAAGATATATATATATATATATATATATATATATATTATATATATATATATATATATATATATAGAATACTACCTTATTATATATAATATATATGAGGACGTCCGACCTTTCTTGATGTGTTGCGGCAAAAAGTAGTTGCCATTGGCCTGGATGCTGACTCCATTGGATAGTTTGGTTGACGATCTATCTAATGGAGCCGACGATGTCACCAGACTCGTCCCCGTCAATAGCGTTCGGCCGCCACAGGCTAGCAACCTTGTGGCTAGGTCTTTGTTTTTAGAAAATTAATATTATATTTAATAAAATATTAATTTTTATTAAATTATCATTTTATAAAAAAAAAATTTGAAAATTTATTTTAATAATGGGGTATTTGTGTAATTAACATTTTGTAAGCAGCTTTTGATTTTAAAAAGCAACTCAAACCTAATTTTAGAGTCCTTTAATACAATAGATTATTTCATAATCAAATTGTTGGGTAATCACTTTTCAAATTTGTTTACCAAACACATTTTAGATTATGAATAATGAAATAAACACAGCCACTCTCGACCTAATAGTCTCACAATCTTCCACGGCAAACCACTTCATCGTAACACATTTTAATGCTACACATTCGAAGGTGAAATAAAAAACACACATTAAAAAAAAAAAAAAAATCATTGGGTGGGACAATTCTTCGTGAGGGCTGAGGTGAGCGGTTTGTCCACAAAACTTGCTAAATTTGATACATAATTTGCTATTGGGATGGGGCTATCTATTAAGAAGATTGAGATTTTTACCTTTTTAACTTTTATAATATCATTAATTCTTATTATTTATAAAATTTAAAAGTTTGTTACTGTTTTTACTCATTGTTAAAATTAGCGATAAAACACTAATGTTATATATGCAGCACGGGCACGAGACCGCAAGCTCTCGTTGTTAAGACAAGTTCACAGTTTGTTTTTCTAGGTAGGTTTCGACAATGATACTTTCGTAAGTTCACCTACGAAAACCTTGTTACGACTTCTTCTTCCTCTAAATGATAAGATTCAATGGATTTCTTGTGACGTCATACAAAAAAAACCACCTATGTCACCACGATCCAAAAGTAGAAGGATATTGTAAACTATTGCTTCAAAAAAGTTTCATATAATAGTAAAAATAATATTTCTTTAGGTATTGGAAACTATTATTTCAAAGAGTTTCATAAATTAGGATATATAATAGTTCTTAACGCGTGAAAGGTGAAATATAGATCAATGTCTAATTGATTAAATTGATTATAAAATGCAAATAATTTCCAAGGTATATAGGTGATGTTTGTTGACTATGGGGAAATCTGACATTGTTCGATCATAAGGATTTGAAACTTCGAAGTGCTCTGACACTATGAAGAAGAAAATAAGAAAATAAAGGCTTGAGAATATTCATTTGTTTAAATACTTTTAACTATCATATTCATACTATTTCCAAAATACCAGTTTGTTTCCTATTCTGAAAATATTATTATATTTTCTTCAACTTTATTTTAAACCCCTTAAGTTTATTAATTTAACTAAACACCCTAAAAAAAAGTTTAGAAATTGACAAAAACACCTCCACCCACCCACATTTGCCAAATTCCGACCACCACCACTAGAAGGTGGCCGAAATCTAGTATAATGGCGCACTACCAGCTAAATCTGGCTGGCAGTGCGCCGATCTATCATTTTTCGGCCAGATCCACCGTGAATCTGACCGTAGCTAGTCGTCAATGACGGCCATATCTTTGGCCATCGTTGATATCCAAACATGGCTAAATCTGACCTTTTCTAGCGAGATCCACGGTGAATCTGGCTGGAAAAAGTCATCGCAGCGCACGACCAGCCAGATCCAATCGGTCGTACGCCGATACAGCTATTTCGGCCACCCTCCAACAGTGGTGGCCAGCTGTCGAAATTTAATGGGTAGGTGGGGGTGTTTTTGTAATTTTTAATGTTTTTATTATAGGGGTGTTCAGTTATTTAATAAACCTAGGGGAGTTTTTTTATTAATTTTTAAATTCTACCTCGTTATTCCCACTCAGCTCTAAAAATATCAAAAATACTAAAACAAATGCACCTTGTATTCTATTCTCAATGTAACAATAAAAAAGAGTCACCTTATTTTCATCAAGGGTGATTGAAGTATTATGGCTAATTTTTAAACTTTTATTGTGGCTATGGTGTTTTAGTGAATTTTTAAATAAAGGGGGTTAAAATAAATAATCTAAATAATAATAATATAAAAAAATTAATAATTTATATAATATACTTATCAATTTATTCTAATTTAACTAAATATATTTAATACTCCCTCTATTCCTTTATAGATGTTGTTTCGAGGGTATTAACCTTTTTCAAAATAAGACGTATTTTCTCTTTCAATGTTTCTCTGACGCACATCTCCATTCTCTACTTTACCTTTCATCTCATTTCTCCACTTTTTGCTATGACCCACATCTCTTCTCTCTCTTTATCTATCTTTTTCATTGTCCACATCTCCTTTCTCTACTCTGCCCCTCATATCCTCTCTTCACTTTTTTTCTATAGCCCATATCTCCTCTTTCTCTTTCACTATTTCACAGATGTGTACGGTGGGAAAATTCTCACCTGTGTAATATAAGAGGAAAAAGTCAATTTGAGGAAGGATAAAATTGATTCATTAAAAACTGTACAGAAACTTAAAACGATAGTTATATAGAAATGAAGGGAGTATAACATTCCCGTGATCTTTAAGGGAACCCATTAATATAAACAACTTTCCCTGAATTCATCAATTTTAAATAATATCTCCCAAAATACAATTGTGTCATAAAATCTTTCATTTAATCTTTAAAATTATATCCTTGAAAAATTTCAACTCTCCTTACATCAGATTGCAGAATATTTATTTTTATTTTTAGTCAAATTTGTGGTTGGTCTTTAGTATTCCTCATGATGCAAAGCTGATCGTAATATTATCTGCCATTATTAAATCACATTTAGAGAGATGAAAAACAATGATAAATTCATCCATTCAGTGTATCAGACTCACTCAATATTCACTCACCATGGCTTTGCATAACCCACTAAACATACTCGAGATTTCTCGGGTTGGCCCATTTCCCAACTCACCCCAATCCGCTTCTGACTTCTCTTTTCCTCTTACTTTCTACGACACATTCTGGTTGAACTTTCCTCCAGTGGAGCGTCTATTCTTTTACCAACTCACTGATTCAACCCTTCTTCACTTCAACTCAGTGATCATTCCCAAACTCAAACATTCACTGTCTCTCGCTCTTCTTCACTATCTTCCTCTCGCCGGGAAACTCACATGGCCTCCACATACCACCAAGCCTATCGTATCCTACTCATCAGACGACGCCGTTACGCTCCTCGTCGCTGAGTCCGCCGCAGACTTCAACCGTCTCTCCAGCGATGATATTATTTAGTCTCCCGAGTTACGTCATTTAGTTCCCCAGTTGTTGACATCTGATGACAAAGCATCTAGCATGGCTCTCCAAATAACCTTGTTTCCAAATCAAGGCTTTTGTATTGGCATCACCACGCACCATGCAATCGTGGACGGCAGTACTGCGATCACGTTCATGAAATCCTGGGCTAATCTATGCACACAACTAGATAAACAAGACGCTTTTTTATTGCCAGAACTTACTCCGTCCTTTGATCGGACCGTGATCAAAGACCCGACTGGACTTTACATGGTGTACTTGAAGAACTGGTTAAATTACTCGGGGTCCGATATTTCAGAAGTCAACCAGCCAAGCTTGAAGGTGTATGAAGATTTAGGAGTAAATCGCAACACAATTCGAGCCACGTTTAAGCTGAGTCGTGAAGATATAAAGAAACTCAGAGAAATTATATTGTCAAGAGTAGAAGGGACAAAACCTATAAAGCAGCCTCATTTATCCACTTTTGTGGTTACATATTCGTATGTTTTGATTTGTCTCGTGAAAGCCAGAGGGAGAGAAGGTAACAGAAACGTTAACTTTATGTTCCCAGTGGATTATAGAAACCGTTTGGCTCCTTCCGTCCCTGCAAATTATTTCGGCAATTGTGTTTTTCTTCTTAAATCGATAATAAAGGCAAGTGCTTTGATAGAGGAAAATGGGATTGCGATTATCGCTAAGAAAATCAGTAACATGATAAGAGAGATTGACGAGAAAGGACTCTTTGAAGGTGCTGAAGGGATATTAGAAGACTTGATGAAAATGGAAGCAGGAGACCAAACGATTGGTCTTGCTGGTTCGATCCGGTTCAATGTTTACGGAGTTGATTTCGGCTGGGGAAGGCGGAAGAAGGTAGAGATAGTTTCTGTTGAAAAAACAGGAGCAATAGCTATGGCGGAGTGTCGAGATGGGAACGGCGTTGAAATTGGTGTGGTTCTGAACAGTCATGAAATGGAAATTTTCAAGTCTTTCTTTGTTTCTGGTTTGCAAAATCTCTGAAGTTTGAGATAATCCTAGAATACGGTATTGTTGTTATTTGTCTTCTATATTATATTGTCAAAGTCAATGTTCTTATAAAATATTTTCTATTACAATATTTATCTAAACTCATAAGAGTATTGTTGTTCACTTGTATTTTATATTATAGTCAATGTATTATAAATTATTTGCTATATATCAAGATTACGTTATATAGAAACTGTTGGGAATGTGTTAAATAAATTTAAGATTGTTGTGCGAGAAATCCCCGCGAATAATTTCCATTTTTGTCTGGAGATTTATGGACTGCACAATTAAAAGTCGAATATTATTAGTTATTTCTTATTTGAGTTTATTTTTAATTTAATCTTGTAATTACTGCTGTATAAACTCATTTATAATCTGTTTTAAGGATTCGTCCCGAAAAGAGGAGATTTGAGATAGAGACTGAGAAAAGAGTGAACTGTAAAAGAAAAACTTATTGAGACAATTTATTGTAACTCAAAATAACTCTTTGTAGTTCAGCTTGACAATACACTCAAAAACATAATAGTGGATATAAGTTTTATATTATATACAGTTAAAACACTTTCAAAATTCATTTCTAGTTTCTTTGTTATCTTATGATTATTGATGCACATTCGTCACCGCATTGCCTTCATTGTTGATGTGTTAAGATCATGCACATATACTACGTAGTTTTAGCATTGTCAAGCGCGTACCTCAATCACGGTCCACGGACCTCTGATTGTTGCCGATTTTCGCATAAACAAAGATAATCTTCTCTTTCAAGTTGTTGATTTTTCATTAATTAGTAATTTAGTTAGCGTACATATATGCTGATATGCCTTAAATGAAAGAAAGAGCGAGATCCATGTTGTAGACGTTGAGATTTTGACCCTTAATTTTAGGGATTAATATTAATCGGTTCTATTTATTTGCCGTTGGTAAAGTTGGTGCCAGAGATTGCTCCGATTTTGATCATATTCAAAAGAATGATAAATTCAACAATTGAATTCCAAACTATTCTTTGAATTCTCTCTCACCATGGCTTCACATAATAACCCACTTAAGATTCTTGAAACTTGCCGAGTTGCTCCATTTCCCAACTCATCCCAGTCCGCTACCGAGTTATCTCTTCCTCTCACTTTCTTTGATACATTCTGGTTGAAATTTCCTCCGGTGGAGCGTCTCTTCTTTTACCAACTCTCTCATTCAACCCTTCAGCACTTCAACTCAACCATACTTCCCAAACTCAAACATTCACTCTCTCTCGCTCTTCTTCACTACCTCCCTCTCGCCGGCAAACTCACATGGCCTCCAAATGTCCCCAAGCCTATCATCTCCTACATACCAGACGACGCCGTTTCTCTCCTCGTCGCCGAGTCAACCGCAGACTTTAACCGTCTCTCCGGCAATGAAATTCGTGAGTCTCCCGAGTTACGACATTTAACACCGGAGTTGTTGACATCTGATGAGAGAGCATCAAGCATGGCTCTGCAAATAACTTTGTTTTCAAATCAAGGCTTTTCTACTGGCATCACTACGCACCATGCAGTTATAGATGGCAATGTTGCCACTAAGTTCATGAAATCCTGGGCTTATCTATGCACAAAACAAGACACACAAGACCCTTCTTTGCTGCCAGAACTTACTCCGTTCTTTGATCGGACGGTTATCAAAGACCCGACTGGACTTTACATGGTTTTCTTGAAGAACTATTCAGGTTCCCTGGGGTCCGATATTTCAGAAGTCAACCAGCTAAGCTTGAAGGTGATAGAAGATTTAGGAGTAAATCGGAATTCACTTCGAGCCACGTTTAAGCTGACTCGTGAAGATATAAAAAAACTCAGAGAAAAGATATTGTCCAAAGCAGAAGAAGTAAAACCTACGAAGGAGCTTCATTTATCCACTTTTGTGGTTACATATGTGTATCTTTTAATTTGTCTTGTANTCAACAAAGATAATCTTCTCTTTCAAGTTATTGATTTTTCATTAATTAGTAATTTGGGGTCCATATATGCTAATATGCCTTAAATGAAAGAAAGAGCGAGATCCATGTTGTAGACGTTGAGATTTTGACCCTTAATCTTAGGGATTAATATTAATCGGTTCTATTTATTTGCCGTTGGTAAAGTTGGTGCCAGAGATTGCTCCGATTTTGATCATATTCAAAAGAATGATAAATTCAACAATTGAATTCCAAACTATTCTTTGAATTCTCTCTCACCATGGCTTCACATGATAACCCACTTAAGATTCTTGAAACTTGCCGAGTTGCTCCATTTCCCAACTCATCCCAGTCCGCTACCGAGTTATCTCTTCCTCTCACTTTCTTTGATACATTCTGGTTGAAATTTCCTCCGGTGGAGCGTCTCTTCTTTTACCAACTCTCTCATTCAACCCTTCAGCACTTCAACTCAACCATACTTCCCAAACTCAAACATTCACTCTCTCTCGCTCTTCTTCACTACCTCCCTCTCGCCGGCAAACTCACATGGCCTCCAAATGTCCCCAAGCCTATCATCTCCTACATACCAGACGACGCCGTTTCTCTCCTCGTCGCCGAGTCAACCGCAGACTTTAACCGTCTCTCCGGCAATGAAATTCGTGAGTCTCCCGAGTTACGACATTTAACACCGGAGTTGTTGACATCTGATGAGAGAGCATCAAGCATGGCTCTGCAAATAACATTGTTTACAAATCAAGGCTTTTCTATTGGCATCACTACGCACCATGCAGTTATAGATGGCAATGCTGCCACTAAGTTCATGAAATCCTGGGCTTATCTATGCACAAAACAAGACACACAAGACCCTTCTTTGCTGCCAGAACTTACTCCGTTCTTTGATCGGACGGTTATCAAAGACCCGACTGGACTTTACATGGTTTTCTTGAAGAACTATTCAGGTTCCATGGGGTCCGATATTTCAGAAGTCAACCAGCTAAGCTTGAAGGTAATAGAAGATTTAGGAGTAAATCGGAATTCACTTGGAGCAACGTTTAAGCTGACTCGTGAAGATATAAAAAAACTCAGAGAAAAGATATTGTCCAAAGCAGAAGAAGAAAAACCTACAAAGGAGCTTCATTTATCCACTTTTGTGGTTACATATGTGTATCTTTTAATTTGTCTTGTGAAAACAAGAGGGGGAGAAGGTGAGAGAAAGGTTAACTTTTTGTTCCCAGTGGATTATAGAAACCGTATGGATCCTCCACTCCCTGCAAATTATTTCGGCAACTGTGTTTTTCCCGGACAAGCGATTATCAAAGCGAGAGATTTCATGGAGGAAAATGGGGTTGTAATTATCACGGAGAAAATCAGTAACATGATAAGGGAAATTGAGGAGAAGGGAGTTTATGAAGGTGCAGAAAAGAATTTAGAAAATTTGATGACTGTGGAAGCGGGAGCACAAACGCTTAGTATTGCCGGTTCGATCCGGTTCAATGTTTACGGGGTTGATTTCGGGTGGGGAAGGCCGAAGAAAGTAGAGATAGTGTCTGTCGATAGAACAGGAGCGATTGCTTTGGCGGAGAGTGGGGATGGAAATGGCATTGAAATTGGTGTCGTTTTGAACGAGAACGAAATGGAGACTTTTAAGTCTCTCTTTGTTTCTGGTTTACAGAACTAATCTCTGAAGTTAGAAACATTAATGACCCCATTGAAAACAGTATAAAATATTATAGTCAATGTTCTTATAAAATATTTTCTATTATCGACACCCTATTGCTTTTTATTTGTATTGTCAATGTTGTTATCAATATTTTATGTATTGATTATTATTTTAGACGTGTTTAAGATGATGAATGTATGAAATTGTATAATCTTTCTCTGGGGCAATGGAATTCATGGAGCTGTTGAATTTCATTTTTTGATTCCCCAATTACCGATATCTGTGCTTACATGTGCAAATTTATTCGTCTGCATTGTGAAAGCCAAAGGAAAAGAAGGTAATAGAAAAGGTATATTAGGATTCAGGGCGGATTACAGGACCCGTCTAGACCCTCCGCTTCCACTGAATTATTTTGGTAACTGTGTGAGAGGACACAGGGTAGTTGCCGAAGCAAGAGATTTCACGGAGAAAAATGAGGTTGGTTTTGTCGCAGAGAAACTAAGTGACAAGATCAAAGGGTTGGAAAGAGGATTGGAGGAGAATGATGCAAAGTTAACGACGATGAGAGGAGGAGGGAATAGTGTTTGGCGTTGCTGGGTCAACCCGGTTTGAGGTTTATGGGTCAGATTTCGGGTGGAGGAGGCCGAAGAAGGTGGAGAATGTGCCGATAGATAAAAATGGGTCAATTTTATGGCAAGAGAATAGCAACAAGGAAGGGAGAAACGAGAGAGAAAACAGAGATAATTAAAGAAAGGTTGTTCTTTTCATTAACTTTCTCGAATTACTTTGAGTCATCTATAATATTTGTGATTTAATTTGAAAATTAGGTTTGTAAGATATTAAATAGATCTCGAAAATTAACCAAGGTGACACAAACTGACTTAGAAAAAGAACAAGACGAGTGAGAGAGAGAAAGGAGAGAGAAGATGAGATGTGTTTTATTTTATTTAATTATTTTTGGGTTTGTATCTGTTGACGTGAATTTTGCTTTTCTTGTTTTCTCCATACAAAATTGGGGTAATCATAAACTAACCTTATCTCTCAGTTTTTATACTAAAACTTGTGTGTTTAATATTTTTGTAGTAAATATTTATTAGTTTTAAAAATATAATTTTAATTTTTGTGTGTTTGAAGCATTATTAATTAATTTTTGTGTGATTCTAACACTCATTTTTTATGCATCGTTAGGTTATTATGTTTTATTTAAATGAAATGACTCTTTTACCAAAATATGATAATAATATTGAAAGTTAATATAACTTTTGAAGGTTAAATTCATGAAATTATTGATAAATTTGAAAGTTAAATTAATAACATTTTTTAAACCAACATATGCTCACCACAAAAGAGGTCATACACACGGGTTTAATGTAACAAAACCCTTCTTTGAAAAGTAAAAACAAAAATTAAATTCATATCTGAACATAGCTAAGATTCTCCAAATTGGTCGAAAAGTTTTGTTAAACGTACTTAATAGAAAAAAGTAAAAGATGAAATAAGATTCCATCCAATGAATTGGATCCTGAATACAAGAAACAATGATTGATCTTTCTCTTTGAAAATCTAGGATTTGGATTGGTCCCCTCTAATTTGTGTAAATGGTAATAATATAAAAAAAATGAAAGAATGAGACGCCATAAAGGAGTCTCTACAAGAGATCATGAACCCTTGGACATTCCCAACTAGGGATGAGTAGTTCTAGGTGCCTGCGATTTTTGGGGAAATCGGAACCGGTCGATTCCCAGGAAAAAGAATTGGTCAGTTCTGGTTCTTTGATTCTTGGAATCAGAACTTGAAATGCAGGTTCCGGTTCCTAACCCAGGTATCTTGTAAAAAAATAAATTACCCTCTATTAGTTTAAAAATGACAAACACATCTTAAAATTTTACAAATACACCCCTGAAAAATTAAGAAAACTTATATTTAGTAGTTTTAAACTTTTCATTACTCATTCATTTATGTTCAATGTGACTCACATGTCCTCTAATCTCTAGGCAATACTCGAATTCAATCAATTCATCACAATTATAGAGAAATAAAATATAATTACTAATAATTAAATTATTTCGGAAAAAGTTTCATACACAATTAGTAGGTGGTTCTAATTTTCGTATTTTAATAAATTAACAATTAATCATTTATCTTTCATACTCATTGAACTTCAATTTGTACTTAATTACTTATGAATACATAAAAATAATTTATATAATATTATTATTACTAGAGTGAAAATGAAGTTTTTGAATTTGCCCATAAGTTAAATTAACATTAATTGTGAATTTGTAACAAAAGAATAAAATTAAATATTAATATTAATATGATTTATGAATATTTCATTAAATAATTAGTATGACTCTAACTCTTGTTTTATGATTTCTTAATATATCATGACTCATGTCTTATGAACATGAGTTGTCATACTATAATGCAATGTTATAACTAATTAAATTTCTAATCATTTAATTATATAATATATTAGTATAGTAATTTACTAATATTTATCAATTTATCATATATGATTAATTAATTACTAGTTTGCTATAGATATACTTAGAACTTATTAATTGATTTAAATAACTAAATATTATTGCATCAAATATACTATTTTATTAAAAAAAAATTCTTTTAAAATATTAAAACAATTTTAATTGGATTATAATTCTAATTATGCACTTAATTAATTAAAACTTATATTATAATATATATTTAAAAAAAATTTTAAAAAATATAGATACTATTTATTATTTTAATATAATTTACACTAAGCAAGTGGGGCCTCTATAGTTCACACGTGTCACCCACATGTGTTTTAATCCCATTTTAATTTTTTTATATATAAAATTAAAAGATAGACCTCCCATTCTTTATTGATATTCTGTTTTAGTCCAGGTTCCTTCCCGGGTACCCACCCTTCGTTCCAAGCAGGTTTCATCCTAGGTACCCAACATTAGTTCCAAGCAGGTTCAATCCAGGGTACCCGCCATCAGTCCCCATCAGTCCCTATCTCAGGTTGGTTTCGATTCTTGCACATGTAGGAATCGAAATCGGACCTAGACCCACATAGTGTCGGTTCCAAAAAATTGGAACCGGAACCTACCCTCACAATGTCGATTCCGATTCTGGTTTTACCCGCTGGTTCCAGTTCTAACCGCTATCCATGCTCACCCCCCAACGACCCAGCAAAACAAAGGTGTCAAGTGTCAACATGGCAAGGATATACAATCCATAAGCATGAACTAGCTAGACTTGCAAAGGCCTAAACAAGCAGACCAACAGCACCAAAAAAAAAAAAAAAAAAAAAAGGCAGGTCTAGCTCAAAATCAAAAACAAGTCTACACAAATATACACAAAGATCAACCAAAAAAAGAGACCCCATGCACAGCATAAAGGAGTCTCTACTATAGATGCAAAAAATCTATTGTTACGGAAATAAGATCTGATCTTATGAGGTTGAGGCCATTGACAATCCGTTGGACCTGCACACATGAAAAGACAAGCGTGAAGCTTACGGAAAATATCAGGGTGGTGTTTGTTGTAGGCACTCTGATGCTCAAGTCAGCAAGGCTGAAAGAGATGATTTAGTGAGAATCTAGGCAAGAAAGATTACCAGGAGTCCTGTCGGAAGGCAAGGCCACGACGAATCGGGAGCAAGAATTTAGGAGCAAGTAGGTGATTTTGAGTAGTAAATATTGAATATTGGAGATTGCCCTCATAATAAGAGCGCAGACCTCTGTTTTTATAGTGAACCCAAGGGGTTGGAATCGTAGTAGGACACTGAACCCTATTTTGGGAGATAATCTCTATCAGGAAAGAAATAAGATTTCTTGCATTTGTCAGATTAAGTTTACTAGTTTGAGTAAGATTCAAAATCTTAGTAGAAGAGGAAATAGAATGAGATTCTGATTTCCTGTTTATGGACTGTTGTAGGCTAATGGGTCAGAACCCAGTTTTAGCTTAACTTGTATGATAGCCCAACTCATAGAGTGGGCAGTTGAGAAGGTGACTTTAAGCATAAGCCCAACCGGAATTGGGCTAATGCCTTAGGTTGTGACATGTTTATTTTGTTACTAGGCTTTGTCAGGTCCAAGACGATGTTTTGCCAGTTAGCCCCCCACTCTCTAAATTAAAGGGTATTTAGCTTAAAGAGTAGATTTAATCAAATGAGTGCGGATTGAGTTAATCAATGCTAGCAGCTTATTAGGTCGGATGGACCGTTGTCTGGAGAATATACACTCAACCAACCCGAGTTGGGAGGATTTTGCTGAACCACCCTGAGTTGGGAGGTGAATGCTTGACCAATCAGGCTTGGGAGAGATATGAAGACTCGCTCGGCCAATTTGGGTTGGGAGAAGTTATCGACTTGTAATAGAAAACCTAGGCGTTTAGGTCATATGATTGAGTTCACATGACTGACCTATAGTTGAACTCAAGGCATCAAGCCTCGTGGTTGAGTCAGCATGAACTACTTGTAGTTGAAAATCAATGTATTAGGCCTTGTGGCCGAGTCGGTGTGACTAACTTGTAGTTCTCAAGGCTTGGTGCCTTAGTTGACATAACCGACTTTGTAGTTGGCATGACTGGCTTTGTAGTTGGCAATTCAAGGGCATTGTGCCTAAGTCGGCGTGACCAAATTTGTAGTTGAAAATTCGAGGGCAATGTGCCCAAGTCGACGTGACCGACTTTGTAGTTGAAAGTTCAAAGGTAGTGTACCCAAGTCGACGTGACCAACTTTGTAGTTGAAAGTTCAAGGTTAGTGTGCCCAAGTCAGCGTGACCGACTTTGTAGTTGAAAGTTTGAGGGTAGTGTGCTTAGGTCGGCATGACCAACTTTGTAGTTGAAAACATTTGAGGGCTATGTGGTCCAGTAGGCATGGCTAACTTTCGATGTAATTTGGGTCTTGCATCCGAGTCGATGTAAATTGATTGAAGGTGAACATAGTAGATGACTTGAAACAACTTCATATGGTATCCCGCATGGTGTGCAATTATCCATAGTAAATTGAATAAAAGAAGTAATGGCGTGCCTGTGCACGACCAAATAAAAGATAAAACTCAAATGGAAAATGTTGTGCATGCATCAAGTAACAAGCCGTATGGAGAAGTGATGCAGGACCAAAGGAAGAATAATCTTACCTGGAGAAGTGACATGCATGGCATGCATGTTTTGAGCAACAAGCTTTCCCCTTCAAAGTGCTGCTACCCATGCTTCCTGAGCCGAGTGGAGTGTTTGTTTAATCAGCTAAGAATTTGAGTCAGGCTGGCTTATTGTAAGGGTGGACGATGGAGCCGACTAACCTTGTTTTGCCAAGGATTCTGAGTGGACTTCTTTAAGCTCAAAGGAGGTGAATAAGGCCGAATGGTAAGCCAAGGCTGAATGGAGACAAACTTGGTAGGACTAGCGGAGTCTCTACTCAGTATTGGTTGAGTAAGCCCATGATGAGTGAAAAGGTAAAAGATCATCCAACGCATCCATTAGGCAAACTTTGTGCCACCTATGTCATAATCTCCCAAGACACTCAGCTGTTTGAGAACAATTTAGTTTCAAAAAATTGAGTCCATCAAGCTGAGTTGTTTACCTGGTCAAGATCATTCACACTTTGGAGGGTTTTTTTATTTTTTGTAGAGTGGTTTGTCTTTGGAGTTGGCGAAATGGTGTCATTTGATCGTTTTTCATGCTAGCCGAGTGAAACTTGACTTTGCTATGGTTGCTTGAGTTCGATTTCAACAAGTGGAAGAGTCTTAGTCTATTTGACACCGAGCATGATTAGGCGGAGTTGATTGTAACTGATTCCATCTAAGCATGTATGAGTGGTCGAATGAGAGGTCCTGGAGATCTCAATTCATCCTGGAGGATGTGGCCTTTGAAGGTGTCTTTTGTGGAGTCTTGTTTTCATATTATTTGGTTAGCCAAATTGACTACAAGAAGGTGGCTTGGCATTTGATGGTGTGACGCTAACATGCATGCTTGGTGGTGATGGGTTTTTTAGGCTTTGAAAAGGAAGCTTTTGGATTTGATAACTTATCGATTGGTTTATGTTGTCTGAAGGCTTTTTCTTTTCAACTCGGTCTCAAAGCTGATTGAATTATGTTGAAATAGAATAGTTCCCAATGAGCGCTTTCAGCAAAGGGGTTCTTGGTTTCAAGTTGGTTCCATTCAGTGGGCCGAGTCGAGTGGAGGGTGAGCCTTCGCTCATTGTGATGTTTGATAGAAGAAGTCTAGAATTCACTTGTGACTAGAGCCATCCTATATTTACAAATATTTAAAAGATAAAAAAATGTCTTTTTGGAGGGTAGCAAAGGTTAGTTCGGTAATACGTCCTGGGGCTCAATTGAACTAATCTAGTGTGATGGTTGACTTTCAAAGATTGTAGCATTGATGACACTTGTCTTCATTCATTTAATGGGGTAATTACCCTTTGTAACTCTCTCCTTTTCCAAGTCTTCTTCTTCTCTTCATCTTTCATTTCAAAAGAAAATTAAAAACCGAGACAGAATCTTCTTCCTGTTTTTTCAAAAAAAATTTCATTGTCTTACCCCGCCATGTTTCAAGGTAAATCCCATTCTCTCCCACCGATTTTATTATTTGGTCCATTTTTGCTCTAGAGTTTGCTTTCCTTTTGGAGTTTTTGGCCAAGATCATGCTCAAAGAAGCTTCCTAATGAAGATTCTTGGGTATCCACATTTGTTGATGTTATGGGGAGAAACTGAGAGGTGGTGGAAGAGCCGATTAGAGTGATTTGTGTGAAGATAATTTGGGTGGATCAAGCTGCTTTGTAGAGCCAAGTGGAGATGTTCGACGATGATTATGAGTGCTTGGAGGACATACGTGTTAGAGGTGGTGCCCTATAGCCAATCAATTATTGTAAAACTGACTTTTTATAATAATTTTTATTAATCAATAAAATGCAATTTTCTTCTATATCATGTAAATCATAATTGCATGTATTGATATATGTCTTTAGGGTGGTAGAACCGTGATGAGGGTATCAAGTGTTTCAAATCTTGATAATGAGAACCCTATGATCATATATGGTAGTCATTCTAGAAATGTCAATAGCACTAGTATTATTCTAACCAAGGACACAGATAATATGGTAAGGCTATCATAGTGTTGAACGACCCTGTCAAAAGACAATGACTGATCTCACTTATTAAGGTTGTCTGCTGACAACCTAGTGCGACACATGGGTGCTTGCTATAGGCAAGTTCACTGGACAGACCTACCAGAGGATTCCATATAGATGGTAACCCTAGTTTTTATAGAATAAATCTTCTAACGAATGGTGGTGTATGTGATCCTTAGACTTGAGATCACCGGAGCGCCTTGTGTATAGATTGGTGTAGTTTGACACCAGCTTAATGTAGTTCTATTCAGAGCTATCAATACGGTAGTGATTGACTACATTGAGAAGTGTATCAAGACTATGATGGATCAACAAGGGATTCATCACTCCCGGGTACGGGAGAAGTTATCTCACGGCGTAATTCAGTGAATGGCAATGACACTAAAGCAATAGTGGGATTGAGTTGCTGCTCAATCCAATTCATTATTCCAATCATTGGTCAAGGAACTGAATACAAAGATATCAAAGATAATTGAGGTTGATACTATTTATGTACCTTAATCTCGATGAGATAACAGATGATGAAAGGATCGGTTTGCACGGTAACCATATTGTTGATAGGCAAGCTGTTTCGCTCCATCCGAATCTATTGAGTGGCCATAATGCCTTGCTAGAGGCCAATCTTGGTCTGTGTTTAATGAGACGATTGATTGGTGTCAATTGCGAGATTACTCAGTGCCGATATGATGAGCAGCCTTCAGGTCACACACATAGAAGAGAAATTAAGGATGAATTGGTGAGAAAGGGTATTTTCGCCATTTGTAATGACAGGGTATTTTTGTCATTTATGATGGAAATGATATTTTTCGTCTTTTGAGATGAAAGGGTATTTTGGTAATCTCACAGTGTAATTAAATTTGTTGAAGTTGTTGCTTATATTTAATTTCATATTGAAATTAAAATTAGTGAGATTATGTATTTAAATATGTTCATATATTTAAATATTATATATAGATTACTTAATATTAATATTTGATGATATTAATATTAGTGAAGATAATATATATAAAATATGAAATTCATATTTGAATTTAAATATATATTCAATATTAATATTTGATGATATTAATAAAGATAATATATGAATATGAAAATCATATTTGAATTTAAATAAGATGTCATGTGGATTATTACCTTGTTTGGTAATAAGGATTTACCATTCTAGTCATGGAATAAATTTATTCCTAACTAGATTAGGGTTTTAATTTTTGTTGCATATAAAAGGCAACTTAAAATTAAACAGAATTGGAGAACACATTAATTAAATCCAAGCCACTCACCTCACTTTCTCTCACATTTTTCACTTGGTGGAGAAGAGAATTTTTCTTGAAGAAAGATTATGTATCCTTTTTGCTTGTGTGTCTTGTTAGCACTTAAGACCGCAAGTCGATTGTCTTCCTGTCTTCGTGTGGATATCGAGAGTTCACTTTTATCTTAGAGTGGGAGTGATTCGTATTGATTGAAGGAGCCTCTAAACGCTAGTATAAAATCTGAAAATTTTATATTCAATATCATTTCATATGTAAATAACGTAAATCGAGTATAAGGTTCTTGGTTAAATGTTGTTGGGGATTTTATTTTTATTGTCCGCTACATAAACCCCCATCAACAACTTACAGTACGTTGTGTTACTAGGTAGAGTAACCATTGTCTGGTTCCAAGGAAGTCATGCGAGTCAGCAGGTTCGAGCTGAGTCAAACCATGAGGAGGATGTTAGTGCCAGTGATTCTGATTCTGAAGCTTGACAAAGATGGATGTAAAATCTGATTCTTTTGTGGGTGTTGGGGATGGTGGTTATGGTCATGGAGGAACCAGTGTGGGAGTTGATGTTGGTGATGGTGACGGAAGCAGTGGCCGTGGAGGAGTTGGTGTTGGTGTTTGCTCAAGAGATGGTGAAGGCGGTGGTTGTGTTTTTGGCGTTTGTTGTTGATGATTACCCACAGGCTGTTGTTGTTGTTGCTGCTGCTGCTGCCTAATGTAACAAATCCCACATTGAAAGCGTATTGGGGAGGTCTTGGGCTTATAAATGGGAGGAGTCCCTCCACATAATAGATTAGCCTTTTGGGTGTGAAACTCCCAACCCGTGACAAGTGGTATCAGAGCAGACCCAATCCGTCTTTTGATATCTCACCAAGCGCCCACGCAGGGGCATCCACGTGTGATTGTGGGTCCACACGAGAGTGAGCTAGATGGGTAGGCAGGGGCCCCCACCTGTGACGAGGGTGTCACAGGACTGGGTGGGGGAGAATGTAACAAATCCCACATTGAAAGCGTATTGGGGAGGTCTTGGGCTTATAAATGGGAGGAGCCCCTCCACCTAATAGGTTAGCCTTTTGGGTGTGAAACTCCCAACCCGTGACACTAAAGACTGATTGTGGATGCGACTGAATCATGAACTGTGTCGACTGTTTAATAGATGACTACGGGCTCCGCTAAAGATTAGAGAGAAAGGTCGACTGGATCAAGGGAGGCTGCACAACACATGCATATCTGATTGTAGAGAAGACTGCGATCGATTAGGCTATAGTACGTTTGGTTGCTGCTATTGCTCACTCTATCACCTTTGCCTTAGCTAAATACATTAGTTTGAAGAGTGCAAGGATCACCGTTTAAACTTCCCAGGAATTCAAAGTCTATCTCATCCCAAGCTGACGTTCTGATTTTAAGTAGTAGGCAGTAATAATGCTGTTGTTGATGTAAGTGCCAAAGTCACATCTCTCAGTGCAGATCTAACTTGCAGAATGTGTTAGTTTTGCATGGAAACGAAAGAGAAAAACTGATGAACCAAAGAGAAATTAGGGACTGCAATAATGCTCTACTTTTGATTCAAAAAACAGGGGTAAAATATATACACGCCAACGCTACTGTTTCAACTAAAACAATTCAAAATTCAAATTTTAAACTTACTCCACCTACTAATACACGTACAAGCAAGTGAGAAACTACACTTAACCAAACTTAATACACCTAAACAATTCACTGAACAAATCAAACAAAGTGATAAAAAAAACTGCTTCTACATGAATTACGGGAGATCAACAGGCATTAAACTGTAGTTCAAAATTCTGCCACCTTTCTGCATTTCTAGCATGATATCACCTTTCAACACTCCTCCATGATATCATTGTTGGAAACACCAAGTCTGAACTGAAGATATTCAAAATTGGCTTGGGACAACAGCTTAGTCAGAATATCAACGACCTGTTCTTCTCCCCGGCAGTGTATCAACTCAACTTCATGATCTTGCACAGCTTCCCTTACTGCATTTAATATGTTTGGTACGGCCAAGATTAACTGGATTTTTTGCCATAGAAACTGTAGACATATTGTCACAGAAAATTACAGTAGGCTATCTCTGAGTTTGGTTACATTCAAAATCTTCCTGAGCCAGATGGCTTGGTTCACGATAGCAACAGTAGAGATGTATTCTGCTTTTCCTGTTGACTGAGCTATCGTTGCCTGCCTTTTGGACAGCCAACACACAGCACCAGAATTTAAGAAAAATACATAGCCAGATGTACTCTTCATGTCATCTATTGATCCAGCCCAATCACTGTCCGAATATCCCACAAGCTGAAAACTTTCAGATTTCCTGAACCACACACCAAGTCCAGGATTACCTTTAATATATCTGAGCACCCTCTTAGCTGCCCTGAAATGATTTTCACTTGGATTAGTCATAAACCTGGACATTAAGTCAGGCCTGGTTGTTGTTAGATACAGCAAACAGCCTATTAAGCTTCTGTATAAACTCTCATCCACCTTGACAGCCCCGTCCTCTTTGCTCAATTTCTGAGTAGCAACCAAAGGTGTATTAACTGGCTTGCATTTATCCATGCCAAACCGTTTAAGAACATCCGCAGCATACCTCCTCTGATTGACAAATATCCCACTTGAAGTTTGATTAATTTCCATACCCAGAAAGGAAGACATTATCTCGAGATCTGTTATTTCAAACTCACAATTCATTGCTTCCTTAAATTCATCCACCTTACTTGGACTACTGCCGATGATGAAAAGGTCATCAACATACAGTGAAACAATGATCAATTCACCCTCCACGTTTCTTACATATAGAGTATGTTCATTGGGACTTCTCAAGTAAACCAAGAAAATCAAATATTCATTGATCCTGCTGTACCAGGCTCTAGGAGCCTGTTTTAGGCCATACAAGGCCTTCCTCAAAAGATACACTTTATTCTACTAGCCTTGAACTTGGTACCCATCCGGTTGCTCAACATAGATCTCTTCATTGAGCCATCCATTTAAAAACGCAGACTTGACATCCAGTTGGAATATTTTCCAACCGAATTGAGCCGCAAGAGCAAGTAACAACTTGATTGTGTCGAGTCTTGCTACCAGTGCGAATGTATCATGAAAATCAATTCCATATTGTTAAGCAAACCCCTTGACAACCAACCTTGTTTTGTGCTTATGTATTGAACCATCAGGAGTATATTTCTTCTTAAAGATCCACTTGACTTGAATCACATTTCTATCCCTTGGTTTGTCCACAAATTTCTAGGTCTGATTTTTTTCTATCATTGACAACTCCTCCTGCATAGCAACTCTCCAAGCTTCAGACTTTGCTGCTTCAGTGAAGTTAGTTGGTTCAAGTGTGGCCAAATTACACCTCTCATAAACCTTAGCCAATGAACGAGTACCTCTAACTGGGAGCTCTTCTTCAATTTCACTTGCATCTTCTTCAGCAGCTTCATCACCAACCACATCAATCTGCCGTGGACTTTCTTCTTTATCAATTTTGTTCTCTTCCCAATTCCAAACACCTTTCTCATCAACCCTTATATCTCTAGTGACATGAATCTTTTTGGTTTCTGGATTATACACTCTACAAGCCTTGGAATTATTACTATATCCAATGAAAATGCATATAGTTGCTTTGTCATCTAGCTTCTTCCTCTTGGCTGTTGGAACCAATACATAACAGGTGTTGCCAACGACCCTTAAATGATCCACAGCAGGTTTGATCCCATACCAAGCTTCATAGGGAGTTTGGTTGATCAATGCTTTTGTGGGAAGCCTATTTAATAAATAAACTGCAGTGTTCACAGCTTCTGCCCAAAAACTTTTCGGCAGCTTCTTCTCAGCCAACATACATCTTCCCATCTCCATAACGGTTCTATTCCTTCTCTCACTTACTCTATTCTGCTGCGGAGTATAAGGACTGCTGAATTGGTGCTTGATTCCTGCCTCTATGTAGATTGTTTCAAACTCTTTTGATGTGTATTCACTCCCATTATCACTCCTCACCATTTTGATACTCAAACCAGTTTGGTTTTCAACCAACTGCTTAAACCTTCCAAAAACTCCAGCTACTTCATTTTTTTGCTTCAAGAAATACACCCAACACATTCTGGTTTTATCATCAATGAACAATACAAAATAACAACTCCCATTCAAGGAAAGTGTTTGCATAGGGCCACATACGTCTGTGTGAATGAGTTGGAGTTTTTCTGAAGCTCTCCAAGCTTGGTTCATGGGAAAGGATGGTCTGCTCAGCTTGCCAAGATGACATGCATGACACATGGTGTTAACTTCATCAATTTCGGGCAGGTTCAGAACCATTTGTTTAGTCTGAGCTTGCTTGAGACCGTGATAGTGATAATGGCCAAAACGCTTGTGCCATATTTCAGACTCATCTAGCTTAGCACTATGAGCTCTGAATTCTGAACTTTTCCAGTTAATGGGAAAGCTTTTTCCCATCATTCTAACTCTCATGAGTTCACTACCCTTACTATCTAATATCTTACAAGATTGATCCTGAAAATGTAGGACATATTTTCTCTTTAACATTTGTCCTACACTAAGTAAACTTTGATTTAATTCAGGAACATAAAGCACATCAGAAATTAGCTTAGTACCTGATTGAGTTTGCATAGCCACATCACCTCTCCCTTTAACATCCATAAATTCTCCATTCCCTATCTTGACTTTGGATTGAAACGCCATGTCCAAGCTGGTGACGCTTTGCAAGTTTGGAGTCATATGACTTGTGCATCCACTATCAATCAACCAGGTTTCATTGCATGATGAGGCAGACCCACAGGATGCCACAAATAATTGCTCAGCTTCCTGCCCTTGCTGCAAATCTTCAACCATCTGAGCTTGCTGCTGAGAGGATTCCCCTTTATTTTTACAAACTCTCTCTATATGGCCGAATTGTTTGCAGATTCCTGGTCTGAACCAACACCGTTTTTCTAAGTGTCCCTTCTTCTTACAATGGGAACATGGTGGATACTCTTTTATCCCACCATGTTTGTTCCACTGACCGTTAGCTTTCTCTTTCCCTTTCTTATCTCCTGCATTTCTCTTATTTCCAGCCTGCATAAACTTCCCTTTATGTTTTGCAACCATAGCACCTTCACCTGAGTCTTCTAGCCTTAAAAGCCTCTTTTGTTCTTGAGCTTGTAAAGAATTGACCAGCTCAGTTAGAGTTATTTGAGTCAGGTCTTTAGAATCCTCAAGAGAGGAGATTTTAGCCTCAAACCTTTCAGGTAGACTTACTAACACTTTCTCCACAATTCTTCTATCCGTCAATTCCACCCCAAGCAATCTAATTTTATTAACCACACTCATTAATCTATCAACATACTCCCTTACCTTCTCAGTTTCTTGCATTTTCAGCATCTCAAATTCTCTTCTCAGGTTCAACACCTGCATGCCCCTTGTTGTATCACTACCCGTATACTATTCTCTCAACTTATCCCACGCTTCTTTTGATGTTTCATACGCCATGATCCTTGTGAATACAAGGTCAGTTACTATTGCATGAATGTGAGAGAGAGCTCTCAGTGCTTTGGCAGCCTCTTCTTCATGCATCCTGATTTGATTTAGGGTGGGATTTGGTCCCAAGGGAGGCAGTTGATAGTTCTCTTCAACGTACTGCCACAGACCCTGTCCACGAAGGAATGCTTTCATCTTGACTGCCCACATGTGGTATTGATCGCCATTAAAGACTGGAGGTGTGAGAGAGACTGGAGGTTGTACCATTGAAACTGAATATTTTGAGTTTTAACAAAAAGAGTAACGAAAACCGGGGTTGAAAGTGCGAAGAAAGAGGATTAATTATCAGGCTCTCTAAGATCACTTAAAGCTTTGATACCAATTGTTAGTTTTGCATGGAAACGAAAGAGAAAAACTGATGAACCAAAAAGAAACTAGGGATTGCAATAATGCTCTGTTTTTGATTCAAAAAACAAGGGTAAAATATATATACGCCAATGCTACTGTTTCAACTAAAACAATTCAAAATTCAAATTTTAAACTTACTCCACCTACTAATACACGTACAAGCAAGTGAGAAACTACACTTAACCAAACTTAATAGACCTAAACAAGTCACGGAACAAATCAAACATAGTGATAAAAAAAAAACTGCTTCTGCATGAATTACGGGAGATCAACAGGCGTTAAACTGCAGTTCAAAATTTTGCCACCTTTCTGCATTTCTAGCATGATATCACCTTTCAATAGAATGGTGTCTGGGAAGAAATATGCAGATGTAGATTTCGATGAGAGGATTCAAAACCGTGTCTCAAGAGGCCGTAAAATTGGCGGCCATTAGTAACTTGAATGATTACATTCCCCAAATTGCTTCACTTGATCTCCAGGGACTGACAAAGCACGTGAAGGCAATTGCCAAGGTGTTTGATGACTTCTTTGAAGAGTTTATTGACGAGCATGTTCAATCCAAAGATGAAAATAGAACCAGAGACTTAGATTGTTATAGTGGAAAATTTGAATATATAGTGGAAAATCCATACCCTTGATTTGTCTATAGTGATCTCTAGTTCTTTTCAATATTTTGATGATCTTAGAAGATCCGGAACTACTCTATCGGAATACTAGATTGTTATTTTAGTTTATATTGTATTTTCTTTTAATTTTATTGTTTTTAAATTAGCGTTAATTTTTATTTTGAGTTATTTTAGTTTAATATTTGTATTGAATAAAGTTTTGTTTTTAATTTTTTCATCATTTTTTTAATTATATAATTATTATGAATTTATTATTATAAATAATAATCAAATTAACATAAATACAAATTAGAAAAATAAATAACAAAAATAAAACAATAAACCCTATAACATTAGACTTATAGATTATTTGACGAGTCTTAGAGATTTATTAAAGTGTACGCAAGCTGGCCCAAATATCCCGGTTATAAAAAAAGAAACCAAATAAAAAATTAAGATTTTTTTTTCACTATATATTAAATTAAGTTGTTTGAGAGACATATTCACCTATTAGATTTTCCACTAAACCCAGTTGGGCATATTTTTTTTATTTTTTTATTAATTATTTTAATTTGTATTTATGTTAATTTGATTATTATTTATATTAATATTTATAATAATAAATTCATAATAATTATATAATTAAAAAATGATAAAAAAATTAAAAACAAAACTTTATTCAATACAAATATTAAACTAAAATAACTCAAAATAAAAATTAACGCTAATTTAAAAACAATAAAATTAAAAGAAAATACAACATAAACTAAAATAAAAATCTAGTATTCCGATAGATTAGTTTTGGATCTTCTAAGATCATCAAAATATTGAAAAGAACTAGAGATCACTATAGACAAATAAAGGGTATGGAGGCTCACCATGCTCTTTCAAAATACATTAATTGATTATTTGTGAGAAGAATATACTAATTCAGAAAATTAAATTATTATAAAATTTTACTTTTGTATTATTGTCGTCTTTTTTTTTTTATGGTATTTTATATTAGATGTAATATTTTTTTATATTAAATGTAATGTTTATTTGATTAAATAAATATTTAATTTTATTAAATTAGTATAATTTTTAAAGTTATTATTATTTAATAAAAAATTATTTTTAATATTTAATTAATATATACTAAAATCATCAATAAAAAAAGAACCAGAATATTTGAAAGAATATACTTTTTTAATATTTAGTAGATATAAAAGCCAAATGATCGTAGTGTTTTCTTACACTGTGTCACGTGGTGGTCATGTCATTACAAACTGATGAAATAACATTATTTTATATGATTGGTATCACTCCATTAGCGATTTGTGATGAGCCGTAATCAGTACGGGAAGTTTTTTACAATATTAGACAACAAATAATTCAAGATAAGATCAGCCAATAAAAAATTCAAGATAAGAACAACCAATTCGAGAAAAGACTGGCAATATTCCAAGAGTCTGTAAACTTCAAAGATACATTAAGAGAGCATCTGTATCATTAATTCCGGCTTCCATGGCGTCATCCAACGCCGTTAAAATACAGGAGGTGACCCAAGTAACTCCTCTCTCCCACTCAACCACTGAATTTTCTCTTCCTCTAACATTATACGACACGTTTTGGTTTAATTTCCCTCCTGTTGAACGCCTTTACTTTTATCAAATCACTGACTTAACCCCTCATTTCTTCAACTCATTTATCCTCCCGGACCTTAAGCACTCTCTTTCTCTCACTCTCCTCCAGTATCTCCCTCTTGCTGGTAATCTAATCTGGCCCACAGATGCCCCGAAGCCATACATCTACTACTCCCCAAACGATGGCGTTCCAGTCACTGTTGCTGAGTCTACCGCCGACTTCAATTCGCTCACTGGTAACGGAGTTCATGAGGCTGTGGAGTTCCATCCTTTGATCCCTCAGTTGGTGACATCTGATGACAAAGCAGCGATGATCGCTATACAAATAACTTTGTTTCCGAATCAAGGGTTCTGCATCGGCATAACAAGTCACCATGCCATACTTGATGGGAGAAGTTCAACCATGTTTATCAAGTCTTGGGCTTATTTATGCAAACAACTAGGTAAAGATCTGGAAGAAGAGCCTTCTTTGTTACCGGAACTAATCCCATCTTTTGACCGAACTGTCATCAAAGATCCGACTGGTATCGACATGGAGTACGTGAACAACTGGTTCGCTTATACCAACACACGAAGCTTGAAGGTTTTGCCAAACGTAGTGTCGAATACCGATTGGGTTCGAGCCACATTTGAGTTGACCCGTGAGGCTATTCATAAAATAAGGAATCAGGTATTGCTTATATTGAATAAGGATAACGGAAAGGAGGCCGAGAAACAACAACATCAACTTCATTTATCAACTTTTGTGCTAACATTAGCATATGTATTCGTCTGCTTAGTTAAAGCCAGAGGAGGAGAGGATAATAGAGGTATTATAGTTGGATTCACAGCAGATTACAGGAGCCGTTTAGATCCTCCAGTTCCATTATTGAATTATGTTGGCAACTGCGTTATGCCACATTTTCGCACTGCATTAGCAAGAGATTTCACAGAAGAAAACGGGGTTGCCTTTCTTGCAGAGAAGTTGAGCGATCTGATAAAAGAAATAGAAAGGGGAGAACTTGAGGGAAGACAAGACACACTTTCAAGGATGTTGACCTTGATGAAAACTATGTCTGAAGGAGTACAATGTCTTGGAGTATCCGGATCGACCCAGTTTGACGTTTACGGGTCCGATTTCAGGTGGGGGAGACCCAGGAAGGTAGAGATTGTGTCCATAGATAGGAGTGGAGCTATTGCTTTGGCCAAGAGTAGAGATAAAAGCGGTGGTGTTGAGGTTGGTGTCGCTTTGAAGAAGCAAGAAATGGAAGTTTTTTCTTCTCTATTTGTTGATGGGCTAAAAGATTGACTGGTAGTCAACATTTTTTTCATTTATTTTATGATAATCAAATCTATAATATGTTTTGGATTTTCATTTTCCCTTTTATTTATGATGGATCTCCCCCATTTGTCATCTCTTTGGTGTACTCATTATATATTATTCTAGCAAATCAGTAATAATGTCATTTTTAGTAATAATTCTTGAATTTAATTATTTTATCTTATAGTAATACGAACTTTCTTCAAAAANCAGTAGCAGATGTCTTGGCCGGTTTTGATGATGCTATTGCTGATGGAGTTGACCTTTTATCAATCTCAATAGGAGGAGGAGCAGTCAATTTTACTCTGGATCCCATTGCCATTGGTTCTTTTCATGCAATGGCGAAAGGGATATTGACTTTAAATTCTGCTGGCAATTCTGGTCCTTTTCTAGGATCAACAGGAAGTGTATCTCCATGGATGATGTCAGTGGCAGCCAGCACCACCGATCGCCTCTTCATAGACAGAGTTGTTCTTGGGAATGGAACGGCAATAGTGGTATGTATCATTAACAATTGAATCTTCATTTACCTAACGAATTTATGAATATGTACTCATATTTTACATTATCAATACTCTAATGATTTGTTAACCCAAATAGGGAGCTGCAATTAATGGTTTCACTCAGAATGGAAAAAAATATCCTCTGGTAATTGGAGCACAAGTCTCTAGCGATTGCCCTCCACCGGGTGACTTGTATGTTCGTCTCTAAAACCATATGAACTCATAACTTCTTGAGCAAATAATGAACATTGTTTGCTTTTCAGGTCGTGTTCTGGCACTTGTCTCAACAGCAGTTTAGTAAAGGGAAAGATCGTTTTATGTGAACAACCTACAGGAGATATCGCAGCTCATCGAGCAGGTGCTGCAGGATCGATCATTGAAAATAGCCTGCTTTCCTTTGTCGTTTCTTTGCCAGCAACATCAGTGACTTCTAGTGATTACGACAGTATCATCGACTATATGGATTCTACAAAGTATTGATACCTTTAAGTAGCTATTTTTTGGGTACTTTCCTATTTTATCACAGAAAATTGTAAAATATTTGCATTTGGATTTTCAGAAGCCCTCAAGCAGAAATACTAAAGACCGAAATCATCAAGGATTCTGATGCTCCTTCTCTTGCTCTTTTCTCTTCTCGTGGTCCAAATACTATTCTGCCTGAGATTCTTAAGGTATATGTTGCTCTCAACTTAAATCTACGCTCTCTTTTCAATGGAAATATTGATTTACTTTGTTAACTTGGTGATATAATGTCATTCAGCCAGATATAAGCGCACCTGGAGTAGATATTTTGGCTGCATTTTCACCTATCGCTCCATTGACCGCGGACGTGGAAGATAAAAGGCAGGTTAAATTCAATATACTGTCTGGAACCTCAATGGCATGCCCTCATGCTGCTGGTGTAGCTGCATATGTTAAAACATTCAACCCTACTTGGTCTCCTTCCGCCATCAAATCTGCTATAATGACCACTGGTAATCATTTTTTTATAGTAAACTGCATGAACTCTTGATGAGTTTCTTCATAAGTTCAGTGTTTCTAAATCAACAATTTTTATTCTGCCTGCAGCATTTCCAATGAATGAAACCAAAACTACAGACGCTGAATTTGCATATGGATCCGGGCATGTCAATCCAATAAAAGCTGTAAATCCAGGACTTGTATATGACGCTTTTGAAGAAGACTACATAAGAATGCTGTGCAGTGCAGGTTATAATGAGGAAACACTTAGACTTGTTACAGGAGATAACAGCACTTGTCCAAAAGCCTCCGGTAAGGCATCGCCAAAGGATCTCAATTACCCTTCAATGTCATCTAAAGTTTCACTAGAAAAGCCTTTCACAATCAATTTTCATAGAACAGTTACAAATGTCGGTCTTCCAAACTCCACATACAAGGCACAAGTCTTTTCAAGCTCAGAAGTTGGAATCGAAGTTGTACCTGAAGTTCTCTCCTTCGAGTCAAAAAATGAGAAGAAATCTTTCGATGTGACTGTTACTGGTAAAGGTGTTACGGTGACTACTATTTTTTCTGGATCCCTTGTGTGGTCTGATGGGGTGCACAGTGTGAGAAGTCCAGTTGCTGTCATCGCGACGACCTAGATTTAATCAAAAATTTAACATAAGAGGTTTTACTGGCTCAGTGATAACAAATGTGATTAGACATTGGATAAGGATGATGAACTGATACTATGCTTTGTCTTGGTCTTTATACATCAAACGCATTTAGATGTAATAATGTTTCTTTTGTTACAACGATATTGCATTACATCTTTCAACCTTTTGAGTAAATGCATTGAAAATTCCTACTAAGAAAAGCTGAAACCTCCGGTATTAAACCAGATGGATGTCTTTTTTTGTTGAACTTAGACGCTTGGAGGAGCATTTTTGGCATCGAACTCTTTCTCTTCTCATCGAATCATCCTTACAAAGAGGAACAAACGTGACTATGATACTAACGAGAAATTAGTTTGGATAGAACTCATTTTCAAAAGTTAGCTTTAAGGGAGAAGAAAGCTCAACCATATATAAACTATAACAGTCTATTGAATACAATTTCTTACATAGTGAACCAAAGAAATAACCAATCACCATGAAAAATAGAAGCTTTCTATTCATGTTGCCTAGAATTTCCATTAGATAAAATATTAAGTGATGGTGTGTTATATGAATTTTATTAGAATTTATTTGTTATTTTTAAGTTGGTTAATGAATGATAAGTGCCAAGAAAAATAGCATTATTGATATGAGTAAGCGACATTTTCCCACCCAAGGTTTGCCTTAATGACCCTTTTCACCTAAAAAGTTTCAAAATATCACATTCTCACTCAAAGTTAATAATTTATTAGACAATTATTACCCAAAGTTGATTTCGGCTAATTCCAATAGCAAAAATTCTCTCCGTTACCACTATTTGAACCTCCAATCTTATATATACAAAACTCCTCTCATTTCGACACCTGATTTCTTGTCGATTGCCAACCATCGCAAAGTTAAGAGTTTTTGTTCTTAGCTAACTTTTGGCTAATTTCGGCAGAAAATATTCAATCGGTTATCACTATTTGATCTACCGGCCTCCACTCTATAAAACACCTTTTAGCCTGACTCTTGATGACTCGTCGAATGTTGGTTGAGAAAGTGAAGTGTATTTTGGGTATTAACAGAATATTGACTTTGGGTAGAAAAGTGGTATTTTTAAACTTTTTGGGTGGCAAGGTTAGTAAGGCAAACCTTGGGTGGGAAAAAGAAGTCGTTTACTCTTATCGATACACATCATTCTACTTCTACTAAGCATATTGCATGGTTGGGTGACTTAGAACGACACCGTTTTCTTTTCCATTTCTGTACTTTAAGCTCTAAAACCCTTAAACCTTTTCTCTCGTGAAACTTTGAAGCTCTTTAATGGCAATACGAGCGTTTTCGAGATCAAAAATCCCAATTTTAGCTTCAATCTTCCTTCAAAGCCTCGCTAAAGGACCCATTAAAGAGGCTTCAATTTTAGCTTTAAAACCTAAAACTCCGCTTGAGGACTTGAATGTACAGAATCCCATATCAGGGTTTAGGCTATACCATGATGGGAGGCCAAGAGGGCCACTTTGGAAAGGAAAGAAGCTTATAGGCAAAGAAGCACTTTTCGTAATACTGGGATTGAAGAGATTTAAGGATGACGAAGAGAAGCTTCAAAAGTTCATTAAATCTCATGTTCTAAGGCTCTTGAAAATGGATATGGTTGCTGTTCTTACTGAACTTGAGCGCCAACATGAGACTGTTTTAGCTGTTAAGGTAATGGCGTTCTTGCATGACATTCTTGCTTTAATACACAAAATTAGTTCTTCTATAAAATTTTCTTTTAATCTGTCTTCATCTAATGAGTTGCATCTTTTTATTTTCAAATCAATTTTGGCTATTTATAATGCTTTGCTGTCTGAGCTTGTTTTTTCTTAATGGGAGGATGTACTTTTTTGCGGTGAAAATTCTTGTAATTTACTAGATTTTCTTTTGGTGGACAATGTTTGTGCACTGTTTGATGAAATGCTTCAAAGAAATATAGTTGTTTTTTTTATTAGCTTTGAGGTTCTCATAACTTTGATAATATGAATTTTCAGATATTCGAGGTGATCAAAAAGCAAGACTGGCATACGCCTGATGTGTTTCTCTACAAGGACTTGATAATTGCATTAGCCAGATGTAAAAAAATGGATGAAGCAATGAAGCTTTGGGAAAGCATGAGAAAGGAGAATTTGTTTCCTGATTCTCAAACATACACAGAAGTGATTAGGGGATTCTTGAATGATGGTTCTCCTGCTGATGCAATGAACATATATGAAGACATGATAAAGTCTCCGGATCCACCCGAGGAGTTGCCGTTCAGGATTTTGTTAAAAGGCCTTCTGCCGCATCCTCTTTTGAGGAACAAAGTCAAGAAAGACTTTGAGGAGCTGTTTCCTGAAAAACATGCTTATGATCCTCCAGAAGAGATTTTTGGCAGATTATGAGGCTTGCATTTTGTACCCTTCGTCAGCTGAAATTAAGTATGAGAAAGGGAGTTTTCATTTTTGATCCATGCACTGTACTGTTTTTAGGCTGCTTTTAACTGGGACGAGAAGATATCAAGACTCAAATCATGTGTTGTGATTCATGACTTACAGATTGAAAAACATTTGGTTCATGTTAGTATTGGATCAATGCTACTAAACTTGATTTGTGTTTCTTCTCTGGTTCTCGAATTTAACTTTTTTCTAGATCTATGATCACTAAGGACAAGTGTAATTACTCATCGACTCTTTTGTATGTTGAGAACTCAGCCCAAATTCCCTTTCGGTAGTCTTTAAAAAGGAAGTATGTATAAGGGAAATACTAATTCTCTATACCAAATGGACATCCCAACTGACGTGGAGTATGATGTGGATAGTTCCCATTACGATCACATTGCACTCTATGTCAGTCCGGATGCAAAATTGGTAGCTGTAGTTTTACCGGAATTATTATATAGGCAGAAAACTTTTCATACGATAAATTGATGATTTATTTTAACCAAGTCAAGTTACCATCATCAGGTGGGCGTGCCGGAGTGGTTATCGGGCATGACTAGAAATCATGTGGGCTCTGCCCGCGCAGGTTCGAATCCTGCCGCTCACGTTTTTTTAAGGGAAATACTTTTTCTCTTCTTTCTTTGAAGTTTTAACCAGTGGATGCTAGGTTTGCTGCTACTACATCCTTACCTTCAATTTTATAATCAAACAAAGATCCTTTATTAAGCAACAAAGATGTGATGAATTAAAAGCCCCAATCGTTTAGTTAGTGTACGATTAATGACTCATTTTGGAGCCAAATTTTAAGATGACCTAAATTAGAGTAGTAGTGGACAAATTCACCAACGAATCCAAGTCAACTAGCAAGCAGTATTCTCCAGTGAGATGGATGGCCCATTGACTCCCCTTGTAAGTTGACGATAAACCCTTTTGTTTATAGCAATAATTGTACTCACTTTCTACTAAAATGGAAAGAATCTCACAATATTTTACTATCTTAAGAATATTTGGAGAAGATATTTTGGATCAATTCATGAAAACAATGTTATCTTTCATAAGGGCTCATCAATGTTTAATTCAAAGAGATGATTCTCTTCTAACATTAAGTTTTATATGAGCAACCCAGAAAAATAGAGATATGGTGACAAGTAGATGACTTTGTCTTCTTCATGGATGAGGTGCAAGTTGAATGAGTGATATCTTGGTAACATGGTATCAAGACTATCAACAGTGGAATCAAATCAACCATTTTGAGAACATCATCCAATAGTCAAGTTGGGTGGGTGGAATTTGGAAAATCAAAACAATCTTATCTACTCTGTTGGATCTAATGATTTAATGTCTTCATCACTCTCACTTTCCATGTCTTCAAAATTATGTATATCTAAGAAAATCTCTCCATCAAGGGCCATTGGCTGATGCCTCAAGAAAGAGAAAGGTTTTCTCAGTGAGCAGGGTGGTGAGTTTATGAAGTTTTTTATTTATTTATTTGAGTCTAGAGCACCAGGATTTATACGACAAGTGGCATGACATGACAGGATCCACTCTGGATACATTGAACCCCACGTGGCACTTATCCGTTATGTTTAGTTGAGGATGATATTATTCTAGTTATATATAGGAAGAGAATGTACAGAATGTGAATAAGAGGGAATAACAATGAAGGTTCCTTCAAACCTTCTGATATTTTAAAAAAAATTTTTGTCTAGTTCTTCAGATAATTATATGAATAAAATAGTTATATTAAAATTAAATTAATATTTTCTTAATTATATTTTCATATGTACTAACTACTAACATTTGCTAACTATTTTTCTTTTCTAAGTATTTTTCATCAATTACACCTATTAATTAAGTACTACTATACTATTCAAAATTTTTGTAAACTACTATCACTATAGCTAATTATATAATTTATCGTTACATGTTATACTAAATAATATATTTAAGGGAAATTATCAATCAAGGTATAGCTTTTTTGTGAAACAAAATTAAGAAAAAGAATAAAGGAGGCTTTTCTCTGGCCAGCGGGCAACCCGCCTGAGGAAAAGCCTTGCCTTTGCCTCTTTTTTATTTTTGATTTCAATGTTTTAATTTTTATAATAAAAATAAAATGGCTGTCTTCTCTGTTGGTATGTAATTTAAAAAAAAAAAAAAGAAAAAACAGGTTTTGTATTTTTTATTAAATATTTTTATTGTTTGTTGTCTTATTTTATTATAATTTTTAGTATGTAAACTGAAATCAACAAATTTTCTTAATTTTTAAATTTAATTTTAATCTTTATATATTTTTTTAAGTTTTTAAATTTAAAATTCAAAGACTAAAACCAAATAATAACTAATGATATTTAAGTCTTTTTTGTTATTTTAGGTTAAGTTTAACAGCAAATCAAAGTTAAATGTCCTAAATTGAAGACATTGAAACTTGTGCCCTTTTTTTTTTTTTTTTTTTTTTGTTTAGCATTTCACTGCAAGATTATAACTAATAATCTATTTGTGAAATGTATAACTTAATCTCACAAACTCTTTTATAATTTGAGGTAACAATTTGTAATTAATTAGAAATGAATTCATCAGAAACAGTTATAAACTCTCACTAAAGATGTGAAAAAAAATTTGTTTGGAAGTATAATATTAACTATAACAATGTAATTCCCTCTGTTAAAAACAGTGAAAGTGTGGAATAAAACATATACTCTCATGGTTTTGCCGTAGATGGAAGTCCAGAAAACATGGGCCCTTGCCATTTGAATTCCGTGTGATTTCAAGTCAACAAATTACAAAATACAAAATTTCAAAGTCATCTCCTTAACTTTTCCCTCCAATCTTACAAAGATGTGATTTACTGACCACCCTTTCTTCCCTATTTCTGGCTAAACAGCCCAATTAAACGTGGTCAACTTTCTTCATATTGCCATCGACATAATGGTTTCCAGCGTTTGCTGTGGTCGCCTCTTCTTTCTCTGGTATGTTTGTACTTATGGTCCTGTTAAGATTCAGATAGGCTCCTCTCAAGAGTACCGAGTTTGTAATCTTCCCTTCAGATGTGGGAATCTTACAGTCGGTTATATATTCTGGGGAGGTGACCGACAGAGTGATTGTGGCCATCCTAGACCTGCAACTCTATTGTGAGAATGATATGCTATGATGAAGATGAATGACTTGTCCTACCTTGTTTTGAATGGGATGAAAAAGCCATATTCTCAGGATTGCAAGAGAAGATTACTTGGGTGGAATCTGTCCACGTCGATTTGGTAACACCACCCTCTTCCGTTTTCACATATACTAATGAGTATGAGATACGTACCGTACTTTACGCTTGCCGTTATCTGCTTCTCTTTCTGGACATTTATTGCTCTTTTCTGGTGCGCCAAGAAGGATGGCTATATAGAAGAGGAGACTAATGGTGCTGAAGCATGTGCTATAGCGTCATGTTCCTTTTCCTAAATCGTTAGTTCTACGAGGAAAAGAGAATAAATCGGTTTTGAAACAAGCCCTACAAGAGGATTGAGATCAAGGAATATAGTGGCGCGGAATGTGGAGAAATGCATTGAGTCTCCAGGTCCGGGTACGTACCTCAATTGTGGGCGAAATTAAAGATTATATGCCGCTGGCGCTGAATCAATCCGTTTGATTTTATTTATTTAATCATTTTCATATAAATTTTACTCAAAGTTACTATCTAGCTGTTTTAGACTTTATATTTTAGATTTTATTTTATTTTTTGTATTTCTCAGTTGTACTCAACACGAGTCTTCTTTATTTAGTTATGTGCAGGAGTATCTTCAATGACCATAATAAATCAGTCTTCAAAAAACAAGAAGATTGCCATAGGTAATATGTTGATCAGACAAATGGTTTACTTTTCCACTGAATACCTACCATAGTCAACAGTTACTTCTGCTATGACGATGATTGCTAAGAGAATTCAGATATTTGCGTTTTTAATCTCATAATTGTCTTGCCCCCTTTATCTTTTTTGTCACAGGAATTACAGCTAGTGTTGTGGGTATATAATTGTCATCAATGGTTGGCCTGGGACGATTCTGAAGAAGAAAAACAGAGGATGATCAAAGAATGGAGGCGTTTATTAGAAATAGCGCGATCGCATGCTCCACAAGACATAATTATTCTGATATTAGAAACGTCACAAAATCATTCAGCGAAAAACTTGGCCGAGGAGGCTATGTGATGTTTACAAGGAAAACTACCGACGGTCGCCTTGTGGCAGTGAAGATCTTGAAGGAATCTAAGGGCAATGGAGAGGAATCATCAATGAAGTGGCTAGCATCAGTAGAACGTCCAATGTCAATATAGTCAGTCTTTAGGTTACTGTTGTGTGTTATGCAACGAAATAAACTCTAACGCTAGCTATTGAATATAATAATAACAGTAGTTAAAGTATAAAAAATAGCCAAAATTTAAATGCAAAAATAAAGAATACCAGGAATTAACGAGGTTCGGTATGAAACCTACGTCCTCGGGCGCCTAAAAGAAAACTCCACTATCTCAAAACATACAAACTTTGGGCAATACAACAAATACCCAAAACAAAAGGGAGATACAACAAACTTACAAACTAAAGGTCTTAAAGAAAGAACCCTAACAAAAGAAGTATAATGGAATTACAACTTGGGATGCCTAATAACAATGATTTGGGTCCTTATATATAGGCCCTACTTTTCAATCCTAATCAGTGGGACAAACTAATCTTTTAGCCTATTACATATAAGTCCCTAAACCTTTCTCCATTATCATTTCTACCCCCATATGATTTTGCTAAAAGCCATTTTTCAAAATCTCCACCTGGCGAATTAGCAAACCTTCAAAGTTTTGTATTCTTCTGTCAAATTTTGCAACACCTTCAAATGTGCCAAAAAGCACAATCAAGCGCAGGATGTGATCAAGTTCAAACAGTGATTGAACTTGATCATTGTCACTACTTTCGTTAAGACATCTGCAGGATTCTCAGTAGTCCCAATTCTCTAATGAGATTCTTCCTTCAGAAATAATTCCGCACAAAGTGGTAACGAACATCTATATGCTTGGTGCGAAAGTGGAATACTGGATTCTTTGCTAAGTGAATAGCACTCTGACTGTCAGAATAGATAGTGATCTTCTTCTGACTAATTTCAATTCATCCATAGCCCTTGTAACCAAATAGCTTCCTTCACAGCCTCTGTAACGCCATGTATCCTACCTCTGTAGTAGACAAAGCACTATAGACTGCAAAGAAGATTTCCAACTTACTGGAGCTTTAGCAAGAGTAAATACATATCCAGTAGTTGACGACGCTTGTCCAAATCACCAGCATAATCAGAATCAACATAGCCAACAGCGATTGACTAGATTTTCATCCGCTCAAAACCAAACCAATGTTTACAGTACCTATAATATAACGTAAAGTCCACTTCACAGCTTGCAATGTCCTTTACAGGATCATGCATATACCTGCTCACAATTAACTGCATGTGAAATGTCGGGCCTAGTACACACCATTGAAACATCAAGCTAACAACGCATTTGAATACGGAATTTTGAACATATACTCTCGTTCTTCATGCGTACTTGGAGATATGATGCACTAAGCTTATATGAGGAGCAAGTGGAGTACTTACAGGTTTGTATTTCAGTTATGCCAAACGTTGTAAGACCTTCTTTAGATACTGCTTTGTGTCAAACAAACCTTGCCATTTCCTCTATCTCTAATTATCTCCATACCGAGAATCTTCTTAACTTCCCCTAAATCCTTATCTCAAATTCTTGATTTAGTTGAGCCTTTAACTTCTCAATTTCTCCTAACGTTTTTGAAGCAGTCAACATATCATCAACATATAAGAGTAGATAAATGAGAGATCACCCTTGTAGCCTTTGAAAATCACTAGTTGTCAAATTTACTTCTGTGTACTCTTGACCCACATAAACCTATCAAATCGCTTGTACCACTGCCTCGGAGATTGTTTCAAACCTTAAAGCGATCTTTTCAGTTTACAAACCCAATCTTCCTTCCCAATACTCCTAAATCCTTCTGGCTGAGTCATATAGATTTCCTCTTCCAAATCACCGTGTAGAAAACGCGGTTTTCACATCAAGTTGAACAAGTTCAAGATTCATCTGAGCAACCAAGGCCAACAAAATTCAATGGAAGAATGCTTAACAACTGAGAAAATATCTCATTGAAATCTATTCCTTCCTTCTGAGCATAGCCTTCGCCACCAACTTGCCTTGTACGGATGTCTTTCAAATTCGAAAATCCTTCCTTCTTTGCATATACCCATTTGCATCCATTGCCTCTTATTCTTTGGTAATTGAACAACCTCCCAAGTTTCATCTATAGAGAGATTGCATCTCTTCTTCATGGCTTTCCTCCATTTACCATTCGAATGTTAGCTACTTCATTATAAGTGGAAGGAACTTCACCATCTCAATTGGGAGTGCATAGGCACCGTATTAGCAAAACGAGCGGCTTGCGAATTTCCGTCTTGGCCTATTAACGGCAATGGATTCTTGTGAGTTCTTGGGAAGAAATCCTCTTCTTCATCTCCAATGAACTCCCTATGATAGGAGTCTCATTTCCAGCTGGGTTAACTGATGTGTGTTTCAAACTCCACCTGTTGCTGAGTATGCTCCACCTGTTGCGGAGTACTAAAAACCCTCATCTGGCTCCTGTTTTCTGGTCTAACATAGAAGACTCATCAAATGTCACATCCTACTAAACAGTATTTCTTCGAACTTGGACACCAAAGACGGATCCTTTCACACCTGAGGTAATCCCCATAAATACTGATTTCCTTGCTCTAGGATATAACTTAGACTCTTTTACATGATAATAAGCAGTGGAACCAAAAACATGTAAAGAGTCATAATCAGAAACAGGTTTTCCAGACCATACCTCAATCGGGTCTTGCCTTCAATTGCAGTTGATGGTAGACGATTAATAAGATGACACGCATATATAACTGCCTCTGCCCAAAACTCTTGCCCAACCCAGATTGGAAAACATACACCAAACTTTCTCCAGTATAGTTCGATTCATGCGTTCTGACACCCCATTCTGCTATGGTGTATTTCACTATAAAGTGACGTACTATTCCTTCACTTGGCAAACTTTCAAAAACGGATCACTACGATACTCCCCACCATTATTGTGTAGCTGCTTGATCTTTCTGCCAGTCTGAGTTCAATCATCTTTTTCCATTTAGGAAAACACCAAGTACGTATCTTTAGTTTTTATACACATACACCCAAACTCTTCTGGAAAATCATCTACAAAAGTGACAAAATAGTGCATACCTCCCAAAGATGTGTTTTTGTAGGTCCACACATCAGATGAACATAATCCAAAATATCTTAGTATTATGGATTGCGGTGCGAATTTCACTCTTGTCGTTTTCCAGAACACAATGCTCACAAAAATCCAGCTTACCGGTCTTGCACTGTTCAATAAGCCTTGATTCACCAAACTAAGTAAGGCTTTTTCACCTGCATGCCCCAAACGCTATGCCACAGCTTGATCATTTCTGAATCTGCATCCTTCTGCACGACTGCAGCTGTCGTTTCAAAACTGTACTACATTATAGTAATACAAGTGTTTCTCCTGTGTTTCATTACCACAAGAGCGTCTAAAGAAACTTTTAGAATTCCACTCGCATATTCACTGTGAAGCCTTTAATTCCAAGGCTCCCAAAGAGATGAGATTTTTTTTCAACTTTGGTACATCCGAACATTTGTCAGAGGTCTAGTTGAGCCATCATGATTCTTCAACCGATTGAACCTATCCCAGTTGTTTACAAGCATCGTCATTGCGCATATAAACAACTCCACCATCAAGTTCTTCGAAATTAAGAACCACTCCTTGTGGGGACACTAGATAGGTACAACCTGAATTCATAATCCATCTTTTGATCAGAGGTGGATGGTAGGCTAACTAGACAGAAATCTGACTCATCCTCTTCACGCTCAACAACGTATGCATCAGAAGCAGCTTTGCCTCTTTTTTTTGCAACTTCAGACAATCTTCTTCCAATGCCCTTTCTCACGACAAAAGGCACATTGATCCCTATTGAGTTTTCCCTTAGAATGAGTCTTCCTCTTCTCTCCTTCTTATGACTCTAATTTTGACCCGCCCTCTTGCAAAAAGAGCTTTGCTGACTCATCTCTATTCTCTTTCTGATCCTTCTTCCGAATTTCATGATTGGACAGAGAGAACAAACTTCTTCAAAGGACAATTTTTCTTTCCCATGAAGAATTGTAATACTAAAATAGTCCAACTCATCTGGAAGAGATCAATTAACAACATAGCCTTATGCTTATCTTTGAATGTTTCATCCAAATTTAACAAATCAGCAATAATCTGTTAAATGTATCAATATGGCTACTGATATTCGTACCTGGTCTCAACTGAAGACGAAACAGTCTTTTCATCAAATAGAGCCGATTCTATTACTTCTCTTCATGTATTTGTTTCCAGCGCCTTCAACTTATTGGCAGAAGTCTCTTTCATGAATGGATATTTTTGCTCTCTACAAAGACATGAGCGAATCATCCCACACGCTTTACATTCAACCTCACCCGTCTTTCTCATAAACATCTTCTAGTTTTTTCTCCTCCAGAACGATATCTAGATCCTGCTGATACAAGCTATCCATTACCTCACTCTGCCACAAGCCAAAATATTTGGCCGTCAATTTTTCACATCAATTTTTGCATTGAAACCGTTATCATCTTTACTGGTGCGGATGGTGGTGCACGGACGGTGATGCCTCAGACGATGGACGATGAATCCTCGGACAATGATGCCATTTATGCCTTACTCAATTGGCTTGGTAAACAAAGTTCCCAATAACCAAGCTCCACAAATTATTATATTCAATAGCTAACCAACAAATCAACAATAGCCCTAGGTAGTAGTAAGTGCTGAAATGATTAAATACGCACCAGGAAAATTCCCAAGAAACAATGGAGGGGTCACAAATGGTCCCATTTAAAATCCAGTCTCCTTAGACTTTTATCGTCTTTTTGACAGAATTTTCCTAGACATGCATATAACCATACAAATAGCATCTCACTATCCTAAACCTAGGCTCTGATACCAATTGTTATGCAACGGAAACATAAACTCTAACGCTAGCTATTGAATATAATAATAACAAGTAGTAAAGCATAAATAAATAGCCAAAATTTAAATGTAAAAATAAAGAATACCAGGAATTAACGAGGTTCGGTATTGAAACCTACGTCCTCAGGCGCTGCAAAAGAAAACTCCACTATCTCCAAAACATTACAAACTTTTGGACAATACAACAAATACCCAAAACAAAAGGGAGATATAACAAAACTTACAAACTAAAGGGTCCTTAAAGAAAGAACCCTAAACAAAAGAAGTATAATAAAATTACAACTTGGGATGCCTAATAACAATGATTTGTGTCCTTATACATAGGCCCCAAAAGTTTCCCACTTTTCAATCCTAATAAATTTGGGACAAACTAACCTTTTTTGGCCTATTACATGTAAGTCCCTAAACCTTTCTCCATTATCATTTCTACCCCATATGATTTTGCTAAAAGCCATTTTTCAACATTGTGATCTATGAATTCATGTGCACTGGATCTTTGGATAAGTTTATATATACTCAAGAATCTTCGAGTACAAATTGCAATTTGGAGTGGAACAAACTTTATCAAATCGCAGTCGGCATTGCTAGAGGACTAGAATATTTACACAGAGGTTGTAACACAAGAATCGTGCATTTTGACATAAAACCTCACAACATTCTTTTAGACAAAGACTTTTGCCCAAAAATATCTGACTTCGGGCTTGCGAAACAATCCAACCAAAAGGAGAGTATCATATCAATGTTGAACGCAAGAGGAACTGTAGGATATATTGCACCAGAAGTGATTTGTAGAAACTTTGGAGGAGTCTCTCACAAGTCTGATATTTACAGTTACGGAATGATGATTCTAGAAATAGTTGGAGCAAGAAAGAACATTAATGTTAGGATATCTCAAACAAGTGAAGTATATTTTCCAGATGCTATTTATAACCTTGTTGAACCGAGTAATGATTTTAAACTTCCAGGTGTTGTCACTGAAGAGGAAAAAGAGACGGCAAAAAAGATGATATTAGTGAGCTTGTGGTGCATTCAAACGAATCCATCTGATAGACCATCAATCACGAAAGTTATCGAGATGTTGGAAGGTAGGCCAGAAAACTTGCAAATTCCACCAAAACCTTATTGGTCTTCTCCGCCAAGATCCCCTAAACATTCTTTCCCGGCATCTTCATCAACACAACTTGCATCAGAGGAAGAACCGCTCAAAGATCAGAGTGATATGTAAACTGTATTAAAATTTGGAAAAATTTAGATGTGGCTTGATTTGTGCTCAAGGACCAGGACACTAGTTTTTCTTTTCTTCGTAACCTCAGATTTTTTTTTTTTTTCTTTTAAGTAGTGGATGTACGGATGCAGTGGATACTGAAATTTAGCTGAAGGGTACAATTTTACATGACCATTCTATCTTAAGAAATAAGAACGCAAAAGCTTCAATCCTTAATTAAGATTAAAATTTTAGTATTTGCTTGCAGTTCCAAATATGACAATCTGAGGAGAATAAAATGAGGACAGATGGCGGGGACGATATTAATTTTTGTTCATAGCAAATGTGGACCAAACAAAAAACAATGTTCATAGCAGGCTGTAATGAATTCTGAAGGTATAAGGAATGAACAAATATTACAAGAAGATCTACACACAGAAAAGAAAAACAAATATACCGACAAATTAATCTATCATTGGCAACAAAGTTTTGACCATATAATGAGCAACCAAATGCAAGGGTTTTGATATTCATCTGTTTTCTGACAATTTAATCAAATTCTGCATCAAATTTAGATACAAAAGCAAGACCTAATGATAAGAAAAAATTCTTTAAATGAAAGCGACAAATTAGATGAAAAAAACCTAAAGAGAAACCTCCCGACCACAAGTGATTTTCCAGCTTCAAGTGATGAGCTACTTGTTCCAAATCCTTGTTCACATCCCATCTCCTCAAGTTTAAACCAATCTCATGAAACACTAGCTCAAACAACAACATTCATACGTCCATCCAGTGATGCCTTCCTTTTTCCTTTTAGGACCTCAGCAAACTCAGGGTCTGGGTTTGGCAAACTATCTTCCAGCTAAGTTTCTTGGTGTACCAGTATAAAGAGACCAAAAGGTGGAGGAATATTGGCAAACTCTAACAAGTGGAAGGTACCAAGATGATTTAAAGAGATTAAGATGGACGAATTTTGAAAAGTAATTTTTACAATTCCAACAATACAAATTTGCACTCTAGGACAAAAGTCCATTTGTAGGGCCAAAAAAGATGCAATTAACACTAAGCGCTGTACGACCGAAATTTGAAGATGTAAATCTGTGCTCAGAAAGAGTAAATTAAACAAAATACACGTCAAACTCTGCCATGGTCTAAGTCTAAACTTGTCCTGTTGAATCTGATACATCAGGATCTCAGCTACTTAACAAAAAAGGAATAAGATGGTTGAGGTTGGCTGCTGTGTGTATAAGAAAAGGCTCACATAGCATACGTTAGTTGATGCATAATGCTGTCTAGGAACACATTGGCGTCTTTGAAGCTTGACTTTACATAATTTTGCTTACACACAGAGAGTCCCTCACATCAACTTTTTAACAAATCCTGCACTTAATGCCGGACATTGTCATCAGATCACCAAGAACAAAATGTGTCCTACATTCATAAGGAAGAGTGTTGAGACATGAGGCCATGACATAACAATGAGACTTTTTCCATTTTAGATATACAAAGTGGGATACCTTGTCTCTTAGGATAAAACCAAAAGCCAGGTCCAAAAGGTAATGCACAGGCAGGCTTGCTTATACTTCAAGCATAGTCCAACATCTCAAATACAATTTATTCAGGCCATGCCTGCATACATGCAAACTAGAATCAGATGCTAGAGGAAGAATATCATGCAAAGACTCAAATCTTTAAACAAGTTTAAAAACAAGAAAGTTTACCAGTTAGTAAAGCACCATGGTAACTGACAGCCAGGAAACTTTCCTTACGTGGCACATCAACATCCTTTCTCATATGAGTTGACAATTCAAGAGGTTCTAGCGCTTTGTACATCCATTAGCTAAATAAATTTCAGATTCTTTTCCCTGTTTTCTCGTAGTTCTGCCTGCAAAATTCATCAGCTAAAGAATAAATAAATAAAAACTCAATGGAGGTGTTCGCCTTTGCCACAGTTCCTGAATCAAATGTGGCATGTTAGAAGTAAAATTGTGATATATCAATTTGAAACAGTCAGTAGAAAACACAGATGGTATTGCTTCATGAGTTTTACACCAATCTCATCAGAAGCTAGTTTAAAAGAAGCAAGATTCAGGCTTTTTTTATGCGAACAAATATTTGAAGCCTTACCAATTTTACTTTCAAATCTGTGATTACCCGCTGTCTCTGATATGCAAAAAACTTCGACTAGAACAACAAAGCACCACACCCCATCGGAGGATAAAAAGAACAAAGAGAAAGTAGGATGAGAAGTGTATCAGACTCAAGTCTATTAATGATGACAGGTAAACTGGTAGATGAATTCCAATAATACAAGAAATTGAAGTTTTGAGAATACTTACTCCAAGTCTCTGCATTTCAAGAGATCTAAGCAACGCTTTTCGTTTAGTTAGGAGGCTACGGCGATGTTTACAAAGGAACACTACCCGATGGTCGTCTCGTGGCAGTGAAGATCTTGAAGGAATCAAAGGATAATGGGGAGGAATTTATCAATGAGGTTACTAGTATAAGTAGGACATCCCATGTTAATATTGCCACTCTTCTGGGTTTTTGTTATGAGAGGAACAAAAGCGCCCTAATTTATGAGTTTATGTCTAATGGATCTCTTGATAAATTTATATATGATCAAGAACCTTAAGGTATGAACCACAAGTTGGAATGGAAGACCATGTACCAAATTGTAGTCGGTATTGCCAGAGGACTAGAGTATTTGCACCGTGGTTGTAATATAAGGATTGTGCGCTTTGACGTAAAACCTCACAACAATCTTTTGGATGAAAACTTTTGCCCCAAGATATCTGATTTTGGACTTGCTAAACAATCCATAAGGAAAAACAGTAGCATATCTATGTTGGATGCAAGAGGAACTATAGGGTATATTGCCCCGGAAGTATACTTTAGAAACTTTGGAAGAGTCTCTCACAAGTCTGATGTCTATAGTTATGGAATGATGATTCTAGAAATGATTGGCGAAAGAAAAAACATTGATTCTGGCATGTCTCACACTAGTGAAATATCTTTTCCAGATTCAATTTACAAGCATCTTGAATCAAGCAACGATTATAAACTTCAAGGTGTAATCACTGAAGAGGAAAAAGATATGGCAAAAAAGATGCTCTTTGTGAGTTTGTGGTGCATACAAACCAGTCCATCAGATAGACCATCAATGAATAAGGCTGTGGAGATGTTGGAAGGAAGCCTAGAGAACTTGCAAATTCCACCAAAAGCTTATTGGTTTTCTCCAACAAGATAACCCAAACATTCTTTCCTCACATCATCATCAACACAAATGGCATCACAAGAAGATTCCTCCAGAAACTGAGTGATTTGTATCTTGGGTCCTGTGAGATGTATTTATACTTGTATAAGAATCCGTCCCAACAACTGAGAGCACTTCTTTGTTCTTAAACTGTAGCAGAAGTCGTGAAATTCATTGTCTGGTGATTAATTTGGGAAAGACAACGTTTGTTTTTTGAATACGTCATTTATATAAGGCAAATTTATTGTACAGTGTCGTGTGTCATCTCATGTGTTCTGCTCTGTGCTTGTCTAGAACGATTATGGAACAAAATCTTCTGCGCGTATTTGTGTGAATGCGAAGAATTGTGTCAATATTGAACCTTTTTTCTCACAATTCACAGCAATATGAAAACTTTGCGAACATTGATGGACTAGGACAATTCTATTTGGTTGCAGTCTGTTGCGTTGCAACCAACACCTTCCCCTCTCCGTAATCCGCAAGTGACTCTCATCCCCATCCCATGGCGCCCCGCACAAAGCCAAGTTTACCCTTTAGAACCAACATTTTCCTTTCCTTCCCATTTTATTTTGAAGGTATGGGATTCATCTTTGAAGCTTCTTTATTAGAAAGGAAAGACGATAAAGAGACAAGATTTTCTCAAGAAATGGAAGAGAAAAAGAAGAAGGGAAAATGATTTTCTTAAATAAAAAATGGTAAATGATAAATAAAGGTAATCCGGACCTTCTCTCTTTTAATTGAATATTATATAAGAAAATTTGAAGCAGACCTAAAATTAAATAACAATAGGAGGTTTTTAATACTTTCCAGAAAAACTGGGAGCATTTGGAATCGCCTTATCCCTTGGGCGCGGACAATAAAAACCGATGATAAGTTGGTAAAGCTAGTAATATGCTTTATTATAAAAAAAAAAAATAGGTTTACCAATAACCTTAAATATTAGTAGCTATAAATTATTATTATGTTTGATTTGGGTAAATTGTATAAGTAATCAATGTATTTGGTTGATAATAATTACAAAATATTTAAATATTATTTTATTAAAATACCCTTTACAAGATTATATATATATATATATATATATATATGGTTCATTATTTGTCCAAATAATTAATTAATAAGATTAAAGAAGTCATTCAATAAATTGGGTTACTTGTTATTTGACACCAAAAGACCAGAATTTTTATTAAGGTAAAATTGGAATAAAAACAGGATTATCCAGTAATCTTAAAATATCATTTTTTAGGTTAGTAATCACCTTTTTTATTATTTGAGCAATAAGAGATTACCAGATTCTTTTATTATTTACTAAACAAAAAAAAAAAAATTACTGGATTAAAGGATAGATTACTAAGTAATTTTCTTAGGCCTTAACCATACACAGCCATATGTCATCTTCCCGTAAAACAGGCTATCTATTTTATTTTTGTGTAAAGCCTACTATTATTGTGGTCCTGTATTGAGGTTCTGTAGACCTCCATTATCAATAAAAGAGAAGGTCATAGAAACAGAACAGGTGATAGAAACTTTGGCATATGATCAGGTTATGCCCTTCCTCAACTTTTAAGAATTTTCTTTAAAGTTTATTTGTGTTTCAATTTTTTTAGAGTTTCTCTCACAACTATACAAACACTTGAACTAAAATATATTCATATATCTATGTTTCTTCTCATTTCTAAGTTGTGTTGTATTTTGAATAAGTAATTAAAGTTATATGAAATTATGGATTGATATTATGTCACAAAAGAAATTCATAAAAAATAAAATTTATAATTATCGTATAAACTTGGTTTTGTATGAAAATAATGATTTCTTATTATTTTTTTCGAATAAAATATATATTAAATATAGGTGTTAAAATATTATGATTAAAATATGTCTTATTTAAATAATCAGTCTTGATCATAGATGTATATTTGAATTTTTAACCTAGTCTAACTTCCAACTGTAGTGTTTTTAAAATTATCACTATATTTTAATATATATATATTATATATATATATGAATCTTTAATTTTTAATTTCTTTGCCCCTCCTAAACGATAATCCTGGCTCCGCCATTGAATTTAAAGTTAATGCATAATCTTATAGAGAAACTTTATGATTTGGACAAGGTTATTAACTTACTACGGAGATAACTTTCTTGGAACGATAAAAAAAAATCTACAAGTTTCTAAATAAGCAAAATTAGATGTTGTTTGAGTTTAATAGAAAAAAAGTGAAATTATATTAAATAATCCATTTTTTTTATCTTAAATTGGAAAGGAACTTCTTTTTAAAAGTCTTGCACTCTATAATCATCTTCTAGTTTTCTTGATAAAATTACCTTTATCTGTATAAGTTTAAACACAACTCATTAAATAATGTCTGACACCGTCCGACATTGCCAAATATTTCGAGCACTATTGTCTTCAACCTCCACCCCAAATTAGGCCGAACGACTTATGCATACCCAAGGTTTGTTGAAACGATAAGTTGGTACCCAAAAAATTTTGAAACGATAAATAGGTACCTTCTGTCATGTTCTGTTAGTGATTTTCATTAGATAATAGTGAAAAGACTAAAATGCCCTTGAAAGTTTAATTTTTAGTACTTTGTAAATTTAAAAATTTCTAAAAAACCCCCTAGGTTTGCTAATTTGACTAAACACCCCAATATATAAAAATTTTATAAAATAACAAAAACACCCCCACCACCCGCAGTGCCAGATTCCAGCCACCACAGCCGGAATCCGGCCGGAAAATTGCGTTACGACACAGACCTATCGGATCTGTGTCGTAACGCGTAGATCTTTCATTTTCTGGCAAGATCCGTGGCTGATCTGGCCGGAAAAGACTAGATCTGGCCGTCGAGACCGGAAAATTGTGTTACGACACAGACCCATCGGATCTGTGTCGTAACACGTCGATCTGGCGTTTTTCGGCCAAATCCGTGGATGATCTTGCCGGAAAAGCCAGATCTGGCCGTCGAGGCCGAAAAAGGCTAGACATAGATCTGGCCTTTTCCGGTCAGATCCGTGGCGGATCTTGCCGGAAAAGGCCAGATCGGTGTGTTACGACACAGATCCGATGGGTCTGTGTCGTAACACAATTTTCCGGCCAGATTCCGACCGTGGTGGCCGGCATCTGGCACTGTGGGTGGCGGGAGTGTATTTGTTATTTTATAAAACTTTTATATATTAGGGTATTTAGCAAATTAGAAAACCTAAGGGGTTTTTTAGAAATTCTTAAATTTATAAAAAACTAAAAATTAAACTTTCAAGGGCATTTTAGTCTTTTCACTATTATCTAATGAAAATCACTAACAAAACATGACGGAAGATACCTATTTGTCGTTTCAAAACTTTTTGGATACCAACTTGTCGTTTCGACAAACGTTGGGTATGTATAAGTCGTTCTCCCCCCCCCCCCCCCCCCCCCCCCCCCCCCCCCCCCCCCCCCCCCCCCCCCCCCCCCCCCCCCCCCCCCCCCCCCCCCCCCCCCCCCCCCCTCCCAAAAAAAAAATTGCCTGAATATAAGGATTCGAGCTCTATAACGAAAACTCGATAATGCTCGATAGAATCAAAATAGTGGGATTCAAACACTATATATCGTCTTTAATTTAATGGTGAATGAGTGATAACTGATTGATTTGTTGTTGATGTGTATAGAGAGTTGATGGTTAGATAAAAGACTTGTGTTTAAATAGATGAATAAGGGATGAAAAAGTTGGGTTTTACACTAAGAAAAAAGTCGTCAATAGAATAAATAGAGAGTTATAGTGTATAACTTTTCAAAATAGGCTGTTTTCAGTTCTACCCTAGAAATAGGGCTATTTATAATAATTGCCTTAGAAAAAAATTAAAAACATAAATGTCTATAAATAATGTTCAAAGAAAACATTTTTCTTAAAAAGTAAGATTATTTGGACACATTACTGCAGCATGAGGGGGATTAAATTCAAAATTGGTCCCTCTATAAGATAAGAAAAATGCTAATCTTATTCACTCCCTCTACTCACTTTTTCTACTCACTTTTATTAAAATGATATATGGTATCCGTACTATGCTTATGATACCCTTATTATGCTTTATATTTACAAAAGTGAATAACAGAAGTGAATTGGAGAGTGAGTAGAGTTATCATTACTCATAAGATAATCCCTGTCGTTTCCAAACACCTCAACTTTTTTTAATGCAAATGCAATCCTAACTTTTGATGCGATACTACCCGGGCAAACAAAAACTCCCTAATGTACAGTGTACACTTACCTTCTAAACTTGAACCTAATAGAAACCGAGCATTGTCTGTGTAAATAATCACCGGACAACACAATTTATTTCTGCTCCAGTTTACAGTTCTAAGAATTGGTTCAGTTTTTGAACAGATTAATCGTTATACAAATTTAAGTACATTTCACATATCACCCGGCTTACCGCTGGTTTCTTCCTGTGATTCAAGTTTATGTTGGTGATGTTGCAGGGGAAGATGCTTAGGCGGCGACATTGTTGGAGAAGACGTTGAAGGTTTCGGTGGAATTTGCAAGTTTTCTAGGCTACCTTCCAACATTTCCACAACCTTAGTCATTGACGGTCTATCAGATGGAAAAGTTTGAATGCACCACGAGCTTACGAAGATCATCTTCTTTGCCATCTCTTCTTCCTCTTCAGTAACAACCCCATGAAGTTTAAAGTCCTCTTCTTTGCCTGGTTCAAGGTGCTTGAATAACCAATGTGGAGAATATATTTCACTAGTGCGAGATGCTGTAACATCATTACTCTTTCTTCCTCCCACCATTTCAAGAATCATCATTCCATAACTATAGACATCCGATTTGTGAGAGACTCCTCCAAAGTTTTTGTTATATACTTCCGGAGCAATATAACCAACAGTTCCTCTTGCATCCAACATTGATATGATACTTTCTTTATTTTTGGATTGTTTAGCAAGCCCAAAATCAGATATCTTTGGGCAAAAGTCTTCATTCAAAAGAATGTTTTGAGGTTTTATATCAAAATGTACAATCCTGATGCTACAACCTCTGTGTAAATACTCTAGTCCTCTTGCAATTCCCGCTGCAATTTGAAACTTTGTCTTCCATTCCAATTTTTGGTTCATACTTGAAGATTCTTGATCATATATGAACTTATCTAAAGACCCGTTAGGCATGAATTCATAAATTAGAGCTTTTTTATTTCTCTCGCAACAAAATCCAAGAAGAGTGACTATATTTACATGGGATGTTCTGCTAATATTAGCAACCTCATTCATAAATTCCTCTCCGTTACCCTTAGATTCCTTCAAGACCTTGACAGCTACAAGAGGACCATCCGGTAACATTCCTTTGTAAACATCGCCATAGCCACCTTGACCAAGTTTATTGCTGAATGATTTCGTCATATTTTTAATATCAGAAAAATTATATCTTTTTGGATCAAGAGATCCGTAATTTCTAACAATGGCCTCTATGTTTTCATGGTTCTCTGTTTTATCCTTCCAGAAGAAGACAACCTTATCTAATGTAAGCTTTCGTCGAAGGCGGCCACTCATGAGAAATATAGAGAGGATTATCAGTATGCCAACTGCACAAGCTGCAACGCCTGTGTTCAGGGATAGGGTAATCTAATGTGATTAAAAGTGAACAACATTCTGTTACTAATAAATAACTGCAATAATAGTTGACATACTGTTACTACAATTGGAAATTTAAAGTTGTCTGATGAGCATGTTACCTATGAAAATTATTCTTCTCTTGTTCAAAAATGATCCTGCGTGTAAAACAGAAAAAATTTAGAATACCACCGTGATATCACATCATCCATATCAACACCTCTAACTCTCATTTATCTTTAAATTGATCGTAGTTGATAGTTATTAACTTGACATGCATGCATTAACTTGTGACAAAAATAAGTTTTTATGGTTAAAGTATGATGTAAAACATGAGAACCAAGTGATTGGAATGAATTAAGTTGGCTTCTTGCTTTGAAAATCAATTTGCATGCTACTGTGTTCTGTTTTAACATGCAATAAAGTAGTTGTGATAGAGGACTGGTTCACTCTGTACAAAAAAAAACTATTTGTGGTTATGATGGAGACGAAGATAAAGACGGAGATGGGGAAATTGAATAAGAAGAATAAACAGAGATGAGTGATTTCTGGGAGGCTAATTAAGGAGGACAAGCCACAGTTGAGGATTTACCCAATGATTGAAACATTGGTGAGTCCACAACTTCAATCTTTGACATTAATTTCTAAACCAGTTAGGAAGAAATAGCCGACCCGAGGGTTGTAGTGAAGCACGAAGCTAAGGTAGCCTAGCAAGCTGGCTTCAAGACCATTTTGATGTGGTGCATTTATTTTGAAGTTTCAAAACTATTACAGTTAGGTTCTGCTTTGCTAAATGTATGCTAAGTGTGATACGTTCCATATGCGCGAGTTTTGTTCGACGAAATTACGCTATGAGATGTGGTTGCCTGTACTGCTATTGTTATTGTTTGCAGATGTATTGAAATTTTTACCGTCTCATTATGCCGGTATGATACAATGACGCCTGATTTTAGGCCTTCGATATAATGACATAGTTTAAAGATTATAAGAAGGGATGTTCCAGGGTAACATTGTCCACCATCTGATCTTACCTAAAAATATAATGGGGGTGATCTGTTGGCTAAAAAAGCATGTAATCTAATATTAACTTCAGAATGATCATGTACTCTAAAATATTGCTGACATGGTGCTGCTCGATAATGCATATTAAGATGTTGATGAACTCAACTAGCAGCGTAAATATAAACTCTAAAGCTAAAAGGAGAGAGAAAAAAGTTAGTGGTGACATAAATTTAGATGGTGATATAAATGATGTGATATCCGTTGTATTGTAGATTATTTTATGTTCTTAAAATCTTATAGACTAAGAAGGAATGAAGGTAGAGTTCAAACAATGCCTCTAAACCATCTAAGGTACATACCTGATGAAGGTGAAGGCTCTTTTGGGCCCAAATAGGCCAGTGATGAGGTAGAACATGATGCGAAGGATGGTCCTTTGGGGCAGTAGCAAAATGTCTGATTCGACAGAAGATCGTAACCACAACTTCCATTAGATTTGCATTCCTCACATCCGATGCCGCCCACGGTCCATTTCAGCTGAAATCCTTCTTTTATGGCTTCTTTCAAAACCGATGAATTTCCCCTCACTGTTGAATATAAACTTCTAGAAACTGGAATCCTGATAACGTACAGGCAATTCTCCAGAGTAGCGGTAAGACCTTCTGCTACGTATAAATCGTCATAATGACTATTATTTTCAGAGCAAGTGAAGTGTACTGCCGGAGAAGATGCATATCCTTGGCAATTGTAAGATAAAGTAAGTAGCTCATACCCAGGATCATAATTAAGAAGTGAAGAATTGGTGCTGTTGTCGAAATATGAAGGTGAGCAAATTCCGTTCAGGTAGTCCAGTCTTACAATCCTGAGAATTTGGCCTTTCTCGTCAATATTTAAAATACTGTAGGCTACGTCATTGATCTCCATGGTAGGCCTATAAGTTGTACAATTGTCGCCCTGATAGGTCAATTCCCACATATCAGCACAAACACAATAGAGCTTTAGGTCAGGATGGCCACAACCACTAGGTCGGTCACGTCCCCAGAAAGGATAACCGGCTGTGAAGTTCCCACATCTGAATGGAAGACTGCAATTAGGTTGGGATATGGAAGGACTGCTTAAAGATGGCTGAATCTTGACGAAGGCCATGAATATAAACCATAGAAGAACAAGAAAATGCAACGGCGGAAAAAACTGTGAGTTCAACATTTCCGGTGAAATTGAACTCGAGGGAGAATTAATCTTGGGTGAGTAGAGTGCAGTTGGTTTAGATCATATAAATCTCAGTTAAACGAGAGCCATAGACTTTTGATTTTGGCTGTTTAGTTGACTTAAAACTTCGTTTTCCCGGCCCATAGAAATATTGCAAAATTAATTGAATTATGAAGTTGCTACCGTTTGTCGTAAAGACCATAATACCACTTACTTGCATTGATTAATTGACGACTAATGAGCTGTCCTCCAGATTTTCAGGCTACGCATCTGCTGTCAATAACAAAATTAGAATTTAACAAAGGGTAAAAGGGACAATAGTACGTGTAATTAAATTTATTACACTTTTAATTACTGCCCCCTAATCTTTCAGAAATTTCTCTTATTGGATGGATTTGTTTTTTTTTTTTTTAACTTTTTGTCGCAAATTTTATTAAAGAGAACTTCTGTATAAAATGTGCAACGAAAGTACGACCCCTTCCATCCCCGTCTTCGCCTCATTCTTAAAAATTTTCTTAAAATCCCCTCGGGTGAGGACTCCTGTTCCACTTCCACATAAAAAATTGTTATCTTTATTAGAGCATCTTCAAATTACTCTTTATATGACCTAAACTATTTATTATACAGAGTTTATCCATAAAAATAAGAGTCTAATAGACTCTTTATTCTTTAAATATAAATTAAACAGTGAGTTTGACTCTCTACGTTTAGAGAATCAAATTTCACTCTTTATCCTAATTTTAAATAATAAATTACAAGTTTTTATATATTTTTCTTATGATTTTTCTCTCATATTAAGTTTCTTTTTTGAAAAAACATATTTTTTCTCCTAAAGTTTAAAGAGTCTATTGAATTTGAATAAAAATTGTGTTCTTTATATTTAGAAATCAATGAAGATGCTATTTATTTATATGAAAGATGCTCTTTAAAATAAAGAACACCATTAGAGATGCTCTTATATAATAAAGATTCTTAAGGTGCAAACGGGTATTTAAACAATCAAAGCTGGTCAAAGAGAAATTCACATGGACGAAACTAACGAGGGGCAGAATGTTGATAGTTTCTGAAATCAGGGTACCAACATCAATTCATCAAACCTAGGGTGAGAAAAATAATTCGGCCTATCATTATTATTTCACGTGGTGTTTACTAAAATATCTACTGGTAGGACCTTGATGAAGCAGACTAATCACTCATAGAAGATCATGAGAATTTTTGTTTTGACTTTTACTAGTTCTTCAGATAATTATATGAATAAATAGTTATATTAAAATTAAATTAATATTTCTTTGTTGATACAGAATTCTTCACCAACCAGTGAGATCTGATCGATCTTGTCGGGATCAGAATCGATGTGTGTGTGATTAGCGATAATCAGCAATTGATATAAAAAGATGCAATAAAATTAAAGGCAATGAGAGTTTTTAAAGTGGTTTGGCTAGGTTAACTCTAAAGCCTACGTCCACTGCTTTTATATTTGCTGTGAGAGCTTACAATGTAATTCTTATGAAAAATTCGTAACCCCCTTCTTGTCGTTTGAGGGGGGTTTATATACAAGATTTATACAATGGAAAGAGCGAAATTAAAGGGATTACAATATATCTGAATAGCAATTCCGATATTCTCATGATTGGGCGTTGTGATTACACAGTGATCGCTGTTGATCTGATCATTCCCACAATATCTGGGATCTGAAGTAATCTGGAGATTGATTGAATGATCACTTGGATTGCTCGCGACTAGCTTATGATGGGTCGAGCTATGGCTCGACGAGCTTTTGCTGGGTCAATCAGTCAACGTTGTCGAACTGGTTCTGGGTCGAACTATATCTTCGCAATAGCCTGAGCTTGGCGGAAAAATCACACAAAACATTTGCCCCCTAGTGTTCGATGCTTATTTCGGGCTTCGACAACTATTGCTCGATTTGGCGTCAAGCTCAACCTTATCAGCAAGTCTCCAAGTGTATGCTCGATCAAGCTTTCTGGGTCGACCTTACATCCAACCAACGTACTTCACACTTGGATCTTTATTTTCCATGTTCCCTATCAAAACTCAAAATATGAAAAGTTAGGGCATATATGTAATTCCCGAGTGGTCGTGTCACATTATATGTGGCAGCCTTTGTCAATCACGTTTCGTCACGCGTGGACGACGACAGCTGTTCACACACAAAGTCGACGTGACGTGCGACAACGGTTATCATTACAGCAATCCAACGGTTCATTGCTCCTCGTGGATGGTCGACACGTGGCCATGTCTAAGGGCTGAGATTGCTCAACAAATGAAGGGTCAAGATCAATTGTAGATTAACGATCACAATTGAACCCCGCCCTTTCGTCTTCCATGCAAAACACTGTAAAAGGTGGCGAATATCGTTAGAATAGTCACTCTGAAAGTTCTCTTACTCTCTTGCTTTCTTTGCCGTTATTTCTTCATCGTCACGACAGTCTATTCCAGCGAGTTTTTGCACTCCCGTTCCGGTAAGGTTCTTTTCCCTTCTTTCCTTCGTTCTTTTTGCTCCAAAGGGTGGCCATGGTAGTGGCCACATTGTGTGTTTTAGGGTTTTAGTAGGGTTTTTTAGGGGCATCTCCGATGGTCTCGGGCTTTACAGGGGTTTAACGCGTTGGCTGTCGGTATCCTGGGTAGGTCGCAAACATCTGTCGCATTACACGAGCTATCTTGGGTGCCTGAACTAGAAGCGAGTGTAGAATGATCGTCGAGTTTCTTGAACTCTAACATTTGTTCGCTTCTTTTTCAAGTACCCAGAAGCGAGCTATAGCCATGTTAGACTCCAACAATCATAACGTAGATCACATGTTCGATTTGCCAGTGGGCTCGGTAGCTCTTGGGAATGTGTCCCTTGAGGCCTCCGAAGAATTCGTTGCCCAAAGCTCGGACGCCGACACTGTAAGGTTGTTCGATCGTGCTTCGATTCAGCTGGCTCACTCCCAGTCTTCTCCAGCCCATAAGCTGCGAAGAGAACCACAATCTTCGATCACCATCAGGTATCTCGAATGCATAAAGGCTATCTACGTGCCACAGCTTAACCTGATTGTCCCAAGGGGAATACTCTCGGAAGAACCCCCTGCCCGGATGGGTGGCGATCTCTGAGACCCTCTTGAGGTTTGGGGTATCCATTCGCCCTCGCCATTTCATCGACAACATGCTGAGACGATTCGACATCGTTCCACTCCAACTGTCCGCAAATTCTTATGATTATCGTCGCTTTGTACATTGTGTACATGATCGCTGAATTGGGCGAGCCATCCATCGAAGAACTTGTCCACATGTATAGACTCAAAAAAGGATAAGACCAGAGGTACTACCTTTTCAAAGTAAGAAAAGTACGTTTCAACGAGTTGGTTGACGTCCCGAAGAAAGTCTCACACTGGGAGTCACAATTCTTCTTCTACGAAGCCCGAGCAACCGGTGTCTTCACTCCGAAAGCAAGTAAGCCTCTGATTACCCACGTGTGCGAGGGTCGCTTCCAAGCTTTTCGCTATATCTAACCGAGTTGTTTTGTTTGCAGTTAACGTTGAGCAAAATTATATTCCAGCTGCAAGCTTACAGAGGCTATAGCGTTTTAGCGACCTTCTTGATTATCAGCACAACGTCAACGAGCTTCTTATGCTTCCTCACCAGAAAGCATACGGCTTTTGTCGAGACGAGGCCAAATTTCTAGCACTTTTGGAAAAAGGTTCAAGTTGTTGCTTGCTCACATTTACTTTCCAGCGCAAATAGATTGCTCACTATTTGCTTCTTTTCTTTTGTAGAGATGTGGGTCAAGAAGCCTAAAAGCCTTAAGAAGAAGTCAACAGCCTCGACGGGTGTCAAGAAGGCACCGGCTGCTTCAGCGACAAAGCAGCTAGCTGATACCGCCGGCTCAAAGCGTGCCAGTGGCGAGCTTGGGGAAGGCCTTGGCGCGAAAAAGCCCGCCACTGCCCCGAAAGCAGTTGGTGGGAAGAATGTCTCCGAGCCCTAGCTAAGGCTGGTAAAGAAGACACCCGAGCTGATTAGGAGCTTTGGGAAGTAGAAGGCAACCGAGTAACATGACGGCTTAAGTAAAAAGAAAATGATCGAGCCCTCGAGGGACTCAAGAAAACAAAAGATGGCCGAGCAGCGAGCTCGCTCAGGCAAAAAGGTCACAGTGTAGGTTGGCGGCCTGCGAAAAACAACGGCTAAAGACTTGGCCAAGAAAAAGTTCACTCCAGTCAACAAGGTGAGTGTTGCTGGGAAGAGCAAGAAAACAGACAAAACGGCCCAAGTCACGGTTGACGCACTAATCGATCAACTCCTCGACCATATCGGCATTGGGGCCGCAGTGACCAGGGATTGTGTCACCCCACAAACATTTGCAGTCGTCAAGGACTCGCCTCCCTCCTAGATTTTGGCTTTAACTTCTAGCTATGTGGCGAAGTTACCGGTAGTTCGCCCCCCTTTGTATGTTATTCTCACTTCTTGCTGACTTCTCATCTTCTCTTTTCAGGTTTCTACGGCGAGCAAACTTCTATACGAGGAATGCAGCGCCACCTTAGAGAGCACTCACAAGGGGTAGATGCTAGCAGAGACAGTGAAGGAGGATGCTCTAGCCAGAGCCGAGGTTGCAGAGAAAGAGAAAGAAGCTAAGCAGGCTGAGCTTGAATGGCTCAGGAGGGAAGTGGCGGCCTTTGGGGTCAAGGAAAGGGAGTTCCTTGACAAACTTAACGCAAACAAGGCTGCTCGGGCTAAGGCTGAAGCTAAGGCAGTAGAGGCCAACAAGAGTTTGGCATAGCAGCGAGGTGCTAACAAGCAGCTAAACTCCGAGCTCTTCTTGGCCTAGAAGGCTGCAATGAGCTGGGAGGCCAAGCCCAAACAGTCTTCGTTCGACCTTGCCTAGGAGGTGCTAGGTCGATAGCAAGCCAAAGCTGAGGCTGGGCAACTCAGGTTTCGAATTAAAGAATTTAATGAGGTCATCACTACTCGGTCCTGGCAGACATCAGTCTTTCTTGTGCAAAAGCTATGGGAGGCTTATCTCTCGATCGACTTTTCTTTCCTTCCGCGAGCTTATCATAAGGAGGTCGAGCGGATGAAGGTTGAAGCCCAAGGGATGGCCTACGTGTAC